ATAAAAAGAGGTATTTTAAAAAATGGACAGCCAAAAGAGGCATTTTTGAAAAGGGGTATTAAAAAAGGGGCATTTTTGTGAGTCTCCCTTTTAGTTAAATTGGACTAAATCTCTAAAGATCGGAGCATTGGATTTTGAATCCAATACCAAATGATCATGAATCGAACAGATTGATACATAGGCTTTGGCAGTTTCGTGACATCCGCTTCCTAAAATCGTAATGCAATAAAATATTTCCTAAATCTACAATTTATAAGCATATTGGTAAGTTTTTAAAATAGTATTAATAAAATTAATACACGAATGCATAAAGTTTTATGTCTTGACTCTTGATTAGTTGATAAGTATCTTGTCGTTGAATTAAAAATTATGAATATGGCTTTTGGGCATTACAAATCAGAAAAGCCTAAATTTCAAATTAATTACCGAAAAAATGGACTTAAGCCACCGGAAGAAAAAAACTTGAGTGGCTTTCAAAAAATAAGAAAGAAAAGTTTTTATTTCGTTTTTTTTTTAATATTTTTTTTCTAACCACTATGTTACTATTTGAATTTACTTTGTTCTTAAAACTATGTATTCTCTAACTAGTAGTATCATAGTATGTTAATACTATTCAACTGGCCAGAAAAAAAATTCTGTTTTAACTGACGGAAAACAGTTTTGTAAAATATATATGCAAACACCGAATAGCTAATTATAGTATTTATTAAACATTAAATATAGCAATTAAAAAAACCTTTTTGATAAATATTGAATAGACCTTTTGACTTGTTAAGTTGTTATGAATCGTGATGTATCAATTAGTGGCATGCAGAGCGGGAGTCGTTATATGTGAACCGAATTTAGTATTTAGAGATGACTAAATAATACTAAATAGGAACATTTTGGTGTAAATGTATCTCCCAATTCAAATATTCAATGGAGTATTTTAATTCTAAGACTATACTTTTTTTCTGGGCAAAAGTTCTAAGACTAGACAAACTGACAAAGCTTAAAACACTACCAAAATGGAGGGCGAAAATCTGCTATCATTTTAATTGTAAGACTATCGTTTTCTACAAGGCTAAATTCAGCTATTGGATATGATTTTGAAAATCTTTAGCAAAAAAAAGTATATGGTTTTAAAAGTCCTTGCTAAAATAATTTGTATAGATCTTTTTTTTTGGTAGAAATTTGTATAGATCTTTTATATAAGGAAGTGATCAGACTATATAGATTGATTTGTTTTTATTTTTATTTTGTAAAAAACTATGTGTATTGCACGTTCATTTGTTCTTAAAACTATATGATTCTGTGTTTATGTTGATATTTCTGTTTTTCCTTTTTTTTTGGAATATAAAAATCAAATACCTTTGTCGTTGTTGTCTAGAATATGCATTTTTTCCACCGTATATAATATCTAATTTAATTTTATATTTGATATAGTACTGTAAGCCTAATATTCAAACTTTGATTGAATCCGTCGTTTGCAACTATTTGAAGCCTAAACAAACTTGCTTTGAAATTTGATTCTCTCACAGTCAAATAGACAGATAATTTCTGGTGATCGCATAATGGAATATGTTTAGCATACTGCATACCACACTTTTCTTTTTCTTTTTTTTCCAAAGATAACACAAATTATTTAAAATCCTTTATTTCCTAGAATTTTTTTGTAATAAAGCTCCATACAGTCCTAATCTTGAAAATAAACTTTCTGTTACCATCTCTCAAAACTGTTAAAGGAACATACATTCTTATAGAAAAACGAAAAAAAAATAGTAAACAAATAAATGAAATGTTACGAAAAAAATACGAATAGCAAGATTAAAAACTAGAAACAAATAAAGAGAAAAATCTATATACTGAAACAGAGCAATAAGCATCAGCGGAAGGAAATCTGAAGACTGAAGATCACTTTGGAGTGGAAACTGATTCTTCAGACATCATCAAGAAAATTTTAAATGAAGCTCAAAGCCATTTCATAGCTGCTGGTCAAGGTAAGGATCTCTAGGCGAATTCGAGCCAAGATACTCTGAGACCTCAGTAACATACGTTTTCAGCTTCGATGTGGTTCGGGTGAGCCAATCGGTGTTTGTCTGATCCATCTCATCCTTCATATTCGCCATCTTCTCTTCCTCTTCCAACATACTGACCCATCTCTTACCCATATACATTTTAACCGCACCCACGCCTTGTTTCACGACTTCCTCAGGCGGGACCACGAGCGGGTTTTGGTCCAAGTTCAGTTTGGTCAGGTTCACGAGCGTGCCAAAAGCGTCTGGAAGAGAATGGATCTGGTTGTTGCTCAAGTCGAGTTCTTGGAGGCTTATGAGATCGCCAAATGAAGCAGGTAGATCTTGGAGATCGCTGAAGTTACTGCTCAGGTTAAGGTACTCGAGGTTCGTGAGCAGCCCGAAAGAATTTGGGAGACCGTTGAGTTCGTTGAAGTGTGCATCGAGGTAGCGTAAGGATCTCATTTCACCAATGGAAGTTGGTAATGATCTGATTTTGTTGAGATGGATCAAGAGTTTCTCTACTTTCACTAGCTCGAATCCAATGTTTGTTGGTAAGTAGGTGAGATTGTTGTAGCTCGCATCCAAGACAACCAGTGATCTTTAAATCAAAAAAAAAAAAGGTAAGAAAAAAAAACAGAGAGCAATAAAACAGAGGAGAAGAATCAAAGTTTGAAGATAAACACTTACCCACAATGGCAGATGGAATCTGGTAAAGTTGTGAGTTTGTTACAAGAGACATTCAAAATCTTCAACTTTGACAATAAACCGATCGAGTCGGGTAATGTCTCTAAAAAATTCGTGGAAACATCGAGTTCGAGAAGGTTTTGCAATCCCGCAATTGAATCAGGAATAGCCTGTTACAAACATAGCCTTTGATCAAGACAAGCAACATAAACTTTTAAATCTATCTAAATCTAGACATCACCACAAGAACCGATCCAATTCCAACACCTAATAAGAATTTGCCTCTATGATGTACTAAAAGACTCCAAATCCAAAGTAAAGTTTACATCAACTCATTAAGAATACATCAACAACATACACTTTTGAATCTATCTTAATCTAGACATCACCACAAGCACCTATCCAAATGTCAAAGAATTTACCCTAAAGACTCCAAATCCAGAGCAAAGTTTACATCTTTGACTCATAAACATATCAGAACTCTAACAGCTTTGATCAAAGATTATGAATTTGACTATTAGGGATTTCGAAACTGACCTCAAGCTGATTGTTATAGAGATTAAGAACAAGGAGACCTTGAATCTTTCCAAATGCTTCAGGAAGCAATTTCAATTTCCGACCAGACAAATCAACTCGGTCCAATGGATTCTCCGCAGCTTGTTGCAGTATACTCACAACCTCTTCATTAACTTCAACCACCGCAGCTTCCTCCTCCGCCACCGCCGCCGCATTCTTCTCGGCGGACTCATAGATCCTCACGAGTCTCTCCTCTGCTTCTTTCAAAAGCTTCTCATAAGATTCATGAAGCTCGTTAAGCTTAAGGATCGAGTTATACCAAGTCTTCTCTTGATCCACAGCTTCTCTCCTCTTCTGTTCCTTCTCCGCCACGTCAATATCGTTCGGAGAGAGAGCGATCTCTTCGAAAGATTCCGACAAAGACGCGTCGATCTCACGGAGCCTGGCACGAGCTTTGTCGACGGTTTCGTGATCAGGTCTAGGTCCTAGGGTTCGAAGAACGGATCGGGTCTGAGCAACGTCGGCGATAGCGTTAGTCATGGAGGCAAGAACATCAGGATGAGCCAAGTGAGGCATCTGAGTCACGATCTCGATAGAGTGGTTTGATGATGAAGAAGGATCGGATTTGGATGGTGGTGGGTCGACATCGGAAGAGGAAGAGGATTTGGCGGTGAAGGAAGGGAGACGATCCAAGACGTAAGAGAGAACAGGGAAGTTCTTAGGGTTAAGCTCCGTCGCCATTGTTGAGAGCTTGAGAGAAGAGACAATTGGGAAATTGGAGAAGAAGAAGAAGAAGCGATCATTGGTTCGTGTCTCATGAGTCATGACCTTCCGTACTATTAGCATCTCTATTGCCAAGTCAAAGTCAAAGATCAATAAATTACACGTGGATATGTACTAAAGCTAGACAAGTGTCATTGTTTTCCTACATAAACGAGAAAAAAAGTAAGAAAATGCAACGAAGAAAAAATCATTCTTAAAAAAAAAAAAACAGAAAATCGTAATAGCAGCCTATACAAACTAAAAAGTATGTATAAAAAAATAATAAAATGAGACTAATTTGATTGATGCAAAGTACATATAACCACAGAAAATAATAATCGTTTTACACTTGGTTATATCTTCTAAAACCTTAATTATTTTTTTTTCTTCTACCAAGTGTAAAACGATTATTATTTTCTGTGGTTATATGTGCTTTGCATTATACGAACTAAAAAGTATGTATAAAAAAATAATAAAATGAGACTAATTTGATTGATGCAAAGTACATATAACCACTGATTAACTTTTCTCTAAAACCCTTGGTTATATCTTCTAAAACCTTAATTATTTTTTTTTCTTCTACCAAGGGTTTTAGAGAAAAGTTAATCAATGTTTTTGAAAAAGTGAGTAATTTTTTGTTGTTGTTTTGTCTTCATTTTAACTTTTAAGATTGAGACCCAATATTGGTGACACAAATGGTTTATGGGCTTGAAGGATCTTAGGGAAAACTATTCTTTTGGAAATGAAAAAGAAAAATAAAGAAAACTATTGGGTCGCCTCAAATTTGCTATAGCCCATTTTTTTGAGACTAATGCAATGGAGACTCTGCTTTCGATATGATAATAATAATAACTCTTGGATTTTTCTTGAATTTTTCTAGTTATGTTTCTGTAATCTCATGATGATTCATGATGATGAAGACGATGTTACACCTAAACACTTGCTTATTTTCAACTTAAAAATGTTATCTATTTTTAAAAGTAAAAATAAAGTAAAACTCAATATCTCTGATAGTGATCAAACAAGGAGTATTAAAATCGAAAAACGTCAACAAAACCGGTGGAAAGTTGAATGGGTCTAAACCAAACACACATAGCCATAAAAGCTTTGTCTCCATTATAGATTCTCCATATCTGAGAATAAACAAACGATTGGATAAAGTACATAGAACTTCGATCTTTTTCACAAAACCCCAAAAAAAGAGAAAAAGCAAAAAAAAAAAAAAAAAACCAGAGCTTTTCAATTTCAATGGAGGAGAAGAGAAATGGTCTGCGAGTGATTCTCTTCCCTCTTCCATTACAAGGTTGCATAAACCCTATGATTCAGCTTGCCAACATCCTTCACTCGAGAGGTTTCTCCATTACCGTGATCCACACGCGCTTCAACGCGCCAAAAGCTTCAAGCCATCCTCTCTTCACTTTCTTACAGATTTCTGATGGCTTGTCTGAAACTCAGACTAAAGATGGTCCTTCTCCGAATGTTATGTCTTTGCTTGCACAAATCAACATTAACGCTGAGTCTCCGTTTCGTGATTGCTTGCGTGAACTGTTGCTTGAATCGAAAGAATCAGAGAGGGTTAGTTGTTTGATCGATGATTGTGGATGGCTCTTCACACAAACTGTTGCAGAGAGTTTGAATCTTCCAAGGCTTGTTCTCTGTACTTTTAAAGCCACTTTCTTCAATGCTTATCCGAGTCTTCCACTTATCCGGACCAAAGGCTATCTTCCAGTTTCAGGTAATTCTTCGTAAAAAACTTATTTAAGGGTCAAATTGCTATATGTGAAAAAGGTAAATAATCACCTATGATTATGTCAGTTTATTAAAAAAATATGTTATCCAATAAAAATAAGGAAATAAAAATTTTGCATTTGACCAAAGTGGTATTTGTATTTATTCATAATTGTGTTATTTTTAAAAAATGGCGTCATCTGCTAAAATAGAATGGCATGTAAATATGTAATGTAGAAATAATGTTATTACTAAACTTTAACCATTTTTTAGGAATATTTTGTAACCATCCCTCATTTGCCCCTTGAAGTTACTTGTCAAACAAAAAAAAATTAAAGTTGTTCACGTAACTAATGAAACGAGTAGGTTATTTACTATGGATACTCTATTTTAAATTGTGGTTATCAATCTATAAGATGGTTTTTTTTGTGCCTTTGTATCTTAGATTCGGAAGCAGAGGACTCTGTTCCTGAGTTCCCGCCGCTTCAAAAGAGAGATCTTTCAAAGGTTTTCGGGGAATTCGGAGAGAAACTTGATCCGTTCTTACATGCTGTAGTCGAAACGACAATGAGCTCTTCAGGGCTAATATTCATGTCCTGCGAAGAGCTTGAGAAAGATTCGTTGACTATTGCTAACGAAATTTTCGAAGTTCCCATCTTTGCGATTGGTCCGTTTCACAGCTACTTCTCTGCTTCATCAAGCAGCTTATTCACACAGGACGAGACTTGCATTCCTTGGTTAGGTAATCAAAAGGACAAATCCGTTATCTACGTGAGTCTAGGAAGCGTTGTGAATATTACGGAAACAGAGTTCTTGGAGATTGCTTGTGGTTTAAGCAATAGCAAACAGTCTTTCTTGTGGGTAGTACGACCCGGTTCAGTACTCGGCGCGAAATGGATCGAACCGCTCTCTGAAGGGCTCGTTAGAAGCCTTGAAGAGAAAGGAAAGATTGTGAAATGGGCACCCCAACAAGAGGTTCTTGCGCATCGAGCCATTGGAGGGTTTTTGACGCATAATGGATGGAACTCAACGCTAGAGAGTATATGCGAAGGGGTTCCTATGATCTGCTTACCAGGAGGTTGGGATCAAATGCTGAATTCAAGATTTGTGAGCGATATTTGGAAGGTCGGAATTCATTTGGAAGGTCGGATTGAACAAAAGGAGATTGAGAAAGCTGTGAGGATGTTAATGGAGGAAAATGAAGGAGAAAAGATTCGTGAGAGGATGAAAGTCTTGAAAGATGAGGTCGAGAAATCGGTTAAACTTGGTGGCTCATCTTTTCAATCTATTGAGACTCTGGCTAATCATATATTATTGTTGTAAGTTGGGAATATTGGCCAAAGATACCGCAACGTTTCTTTTTTTTTTTTCTCATAAATTTTCTTTTTCATTCAAACTACAGTAGAACCTCTATAAATTAATACTCGATAAATTAATAAACACGATAAATTAATAAATTTGGCCGGTCCCGAGTCGGACCAATGTAAAAATTAACCAAATTCGATAAGATAATAAGATAATAATTTTTTTGAAATCTCTATGTAAAAATATAGTCCCAATAATATCATAAATTAATAATCATGTAATTTTCACATATATATATATATATATATATATATATATATAGTTTTAGTGTTTTTCATAAAAATAGCCAAAAAATTTTGTAAGTTTTCAAATTTTGAATATGCATAATTTTTTTTAATAGTCGTATATGTTTTTAAAATACAACAATGGATGTCTTTGTGAATTTTAATTTATGTATATCGTTTGTATATGTGAATTCTATAATCGTTGTTATTCATTGTCAAAATAAATTATTTTTTCAAAATATTAAGTGTTTAAGGCTAAAACTATAAAATTTATAACATCCAAAACAATAATCTTAGTTAGATCACATTGCTTTAGCTCGTATTTTTTTAAAAAAGTTTTTACAATTGAAACAAAACTTTCTATAAATTAATAAATATTAATTTACGCTATAAATAAATAATTATTAATATCATTATAAATTAATAAAATATCATGGTCCTAACATTATTAATTTATAGAGGTTTTACTGTATAACAAGTATACTGGGTTTACAAATATCACTGAAAGCCCATAAGGCCCAGTCGTTAAAGACTTTTACAAACCCACAAATGGTCTCAACGAAATACCCATAAAGATACAAAAGGTACAACGCAAATAAAACAAGTGAAAGCAACATATGACACGTGGATGTGACTCTCATTTCTTACGCCGACGATTGTTTCATCGTTACCTTCGCAGCACCACCATCAATTCCGGTAAGTCGGTAACCCACCTATATCTCCACGACTACTTCATCGCTCTTGTAAATCCGCCGCTTTGCTCCACCATATCGCTACCAAAGATGCTCTCCAACAAACTAACCAATGATCGAATCTTAAGAAAAATCTATAAATTAAAACTTATGGTTTAGATCATGATTTCTTTTGATGATTAAATCCTCCGAGACATGCTGGATTGAGATTCCAAATCAGAAGATTAAGCAAATCGAATTGGGTTGAAACAAACCCTAATAGTTGATTAAAACCCAAAAGGCAGAGACTAGAATTAAAACAAAGAATGACTTTCATCTAAAGAAGGATCCAAGAAAGGAGGATGGTAAGGAAACCCAAAAGAAAAATTGGTACTAAGATCACGATTAGGCCTGGGCAAAAAACCCGGACCCGAAACCCGGACCGATACCCAAACCAAAAAAACCGGTTCGGGGCGGGTACGGGTAAGAGGAAATTATCTCATTGGGTACAGTTTTTGAAAACCCGTGGGTATCGAATCGGTCCGGGTAATACCCGTTACCCAAACAGGGTACCCTAATACCCGAACATATAATTAAATATCAAAAATATTAATTATATATAATTTTAATATAATTTAATTATATAGAATTACAATTATAAATCTAAATATGTCAATTAACTTTAGACTTAAATATCCAAAACAACCAAACTATCCAAAAGCTATTTGTTATGTTTGTCAAAATTTAGCGAAATGTATTCAAATATAACTAAATTTATTAAAATTTAACAAATCTTTAAGGTTTTTTTTTTGGGTACCTGGTATTTTACGTATAAAACCCGACATTTTACATATAAAATACCCGAATGGATCGTAAATTCATTACTAATTTAACCCGAACCCGAACGTGTTTTCCCTGAACCCGAACGAGTACCCATATGCCCAGGCCTAATCACGATGATTATTGAGAGCGAAAACATAAAACCGGCATCGAATAACCGGAAACTAAAGTCGGATTCTACGAAAGAGTAAAGTGGGAACCGGACGGCGAGATAAGACGGCAAAGCCGGACCACGTTCGGACACAAAAGCCAGCCACCACCGCTAAAGAAGCTGGTTGATGCTGAAAAGGAGCCAACCATCGTCGTTAAAGAAACCGGCCGATGTTGGACATAGATTGGTTTTTGCCGAAAATTACTTTCTCTCTCTGAAAAATCAAGAGAGAGAAGACCGCAACGTTTCTAAAATGCAAAAGAAAAGAACTTGATTATATTTTCTGTTGTCTAAAATAAACCTAAAATTCAAAATAAACTCATTCTATTAAAAACTTAAACGACTTATCACAAAAGAAAAGACAAACCAAAAGAAAAACATTTCGTGTCATAGTCACGTGCACTTGTCACTTACGTTTATGTCTTTGCTATACGTAGGCCCGTGATTGGCTTATTGAATAGTCCCCATTCTCCAAAATCATTGTTTTGCTTTCTGCAGATTAGAAAATTGCAAAGAGAGGAAGAACAAAGAACCTTGAATGGAGAAGAGAAACGAGAGACAAGTGATTCTCTTTCCTCTACCATTACAAGGTTGCATAAACCCTATGCTCCAGCTAGCAAAAATCCTTTATTCAAGAGGTTTCTCGATCACCATCATTCACACGCGCTTCAACGCGCCCAAATCTTCAGACCATCCTCTCTTCACTTTCTTACAAATCTCCGACGGATTGTCCGAATCTCAGACTCAATCTCGTGATGTTTTGCTTCAACTCACGCTTCTCAACAACAATTGCGAGAACCCATTTCGAGAGTGTTTGGCTAAAGTCATCAAACCTAGTTCAGATTCAGGAACAGAGGAAAGGAAGATTAGCTGTTTGATCGATGATTCTGGTTGGGTTTTCACACAATCCGTGTCGGAGAGTTTCAATCTTCCGAGATTTGTCCTCTGTGCTTATAAATTCTCATTCTTTCTTGGACATCTGCTTGTTCCTCAGATTCGTCGTGAAGGGTTTCTTCCAGTACCAGGTACGGCTTCGACTCATAGTAGATCATTGGTTTTTATTGGTAACTGAGTCATCAAGGAGACAATTTAAACAGAAAATATTCAAAGGAAAAGATTTTGTCCGTGTTTCTTGAACTTTCTTAGGGTTTATTTCAGATTCGGAAGCAGAGGATCTAGTTCTTGAGTTTCCACCGCTTCGAAAGAAAGATCTTTCGAGAATAATGGGAACCAGCGCTCAGAGTGAGCCTCTCGATTCTTACTTGCATAAGATAATCGAAGCGACGAAGCCAGCTTCAGGGCTCATAGTTATGTCATGCGAAGAGCTTGACCTAGATTCACTTACTGAGTCCAACAAAGTCTTCAGCTTTCCGATATTCCCCATTGGCCCATTTCACATCCATGACGTGCCAGCCTCGTCTAGCAGCTTGTTAGAACCGGACCAGAGTTGCATTCCATGGTTAGATAAGCACGAAACGAGATCAGTAATCTACGTGAGCTTAGGGAGCATTGCGAGTCTTAACGAGTCTGACTTCTTGGAGATTGCTTGTGGACTAAGAAACACTAACCAATCCTTCTTGTGGGTTGTCCGGCCTGGTTCAGTCCACGGCAGAGATTGGATCGAATCGTTACCCTCAGGGTTCATGGAAAGTCTCGAGGGTAAAGGAAAGATAGTGAAATGGGCACCGCAGCTAGATGTTCTTGCGCATAGAGCCACGGGAGGGTTTTTGACGCATAATGGATGGAACTCGACGCTAGAGAGTATATGCGAAGGAGTACCTATGATCTGCTTGCCTTTTGTGTGGGACCAATTTGTAAACGCGAGATATATCAGCGAAGTTTGGAGGGTGGGGATACACTTAGAAGGTCGGATAGAGAGAAGAGAGATCGAGAGAGCTGTGATAAGACTAATGGTTGAGTCGGAAGGAGAGGAGATTCGAGATAGAATCAAAGTCTTGCGAGATGAAGTAAGAAGATCGGTTAAACAAGGAGGTTCGGCATCTCGATCTTTAGATGAGTTGGTTGATCGTATATCAATCAGAGCTGCGTGACCGCTGTGACATAATTGTAACCACTATATTAGTGCATAGACTCGGACATATTGAAAAATGTAATGATGCAGTGATTGGTGTTACCGGAGAGCAACCATCAATAGATCGGTAGAAAACCCTCCTGTTAATATAAAATCTATTTCTCTCATCTTTCTTCCTTCTTCTGTGTTTGTTAAGCTTGTTTATCTACCCAAATTTAAAGAATCGCAGCTTGATTTTGCTCCGTCTTTTTCCACTTCGCACTACAAGGCTGCATCAACCCCATGATTCAGCTCGCCAAGATCCTCCACTCAAGAGTCAAGAGGTTTCTCAATCACTGTGATCCACACGTGCTTCAACGCGCCAAAAGCTTCAAGCCATCCCCTCTTCACCTTCTTAGAGATCCCAGATGGCTTGTACGAAACAGAGAAAAGAACTAACAATACCAAACTTCTCCTAACACTTATCAACCGGAACTGTGAGTCTCCGTTTCGTGACTGTTTGACTAAACCGTTGCAGTCTGCAGATTCAGAAACAGGGGAAGATAAACAGAGGATTAGCTGTTTGATCGATGATTTTGGATGGATGTTCGCACAACCCATTGCTCAACTCCCGAGATTAGTCGTCAGTGAGTTTACAGTCTCCTTCTTTCGAAGCCAATTTGTTCTTCCTAAGCTCCGCCGTGAAGTGTATCTTCCACCTCAAGGTATTGTTATTTCTTACGTTTTTGGTATAGACCAAACAAGTTGTTTATCTAAAAAATATATATTTCCAAAATTGTCTGACAGATTCAGAACAGGAGGATCTAGTTCAAGAGTTTCCACCGCTTCGGAAGTTATTGGACCGTACGGCTACATATGTTTGTTTATTGTCTCGATGGGCTTTAAACCCAACTCAGTCATCGAATTAGGGCTACGTCATTATTGTTGAATTCTGGGGTTAGCTTCTTTGTTTATCCTTTCAGGCTGTTGAATTTCGCTCGACTCCTTTTTTTTATTATATATTTTTACTGTTTGCCTGCTGCAGGAATTGAATTGAAACCTGGCGGCAAACCTGTCTCTTTTCGTGTTAATAATGATCGGAAGCTCGTCGTCACCAGGGTATGGTCCCCCCGATTGTTAGATAAGGAAATTTGATCTGTTGTGCTTATTATTGATCTATTTGTATTACCCTTGCCCAACAATCCAGGCAACTCTAGGCGAGGGTTTCGGCAAAGAGAAGAGCGTGATTCAGTACTTGATCGGAGGAGACAAAAATAGCTCAGTCGATTTGTGTGCCTTGTACCCAAATGAGAAAGAGTCCTGCTCTCTAAGTCTTGTGTTTGAACGTGATGTTGACTTCACAGTGATTGGGGATAGAGGAATCCTTCTTACTGGTTACTTGCAGACGACTTGTGTGCAGGACAAGGGCAAAGATGTTAATCGTGGAGGTATATTTCTTTTTTTTTTCTTTTCTTTCTGTGTAGCGACCACACAACATCATCATCTCATATGCGAAAGCTATAATCTCCCCTCTTGTTTCTTGGTTTTTTCATATTGGTAATAAAACTCAAATCTCCTCTTTCCCAATTCCCGTCTTGTTTCTTGGTTTTTTCATATTTGTAATAAAACTCAAATCTTGATCATTCAATCTTCCTTTTCACAAGAGTGTTTGTTTATTATATTCTTGATATTCCTTCTTCTGTTCAAAATCCATGTAAAGCCAGCGATAACCATTATTCCATTTGCACCCATAAACCCATCTTGCTACACAACAGCTCCAAGAACAAAACGCTTCATAAATTCCAACTTTGGCCCACATGGTGTTGGCTGCTTCTTGTAAAGCAATAATAATCTTGATCCAGGTCAATTCAATTATGCGCTGATGATTGGTTCCTTGTCAAATAAGTTTTCTTTTCGACTTCATTATCACTTTTGATGAATATATGTCCTTGCCCCGAATGAAAATCTCCCGCGTGCCTTGTTCTGTATTGGCCAAAGACATTTAGGTCCCCAATACTCCTTGAGCCTTGTAAAAGCTTGCACCCTATAATCTGGATAATGACTCTTGAGATTGCCTCTATTTAACCCCTTCTCAATAGAACACATACTCTCTCCGTGCACAAGTTTCCAGCTTGCTCACAAATTTCCAGCAAAAACTGAACAACTCTTAAGGTTAGAACGGACTGAAATTCTCTTAGGTGTGAAATACTCTTGAGTTCATGAATAGCTCAGAATTCAACAACAAATTAAACACTTCATCAATAGAGATAACGTGAACCAACTCGTAGATTCGGAAGCAGAGGACTCTGTTCTTGAGTTCCCGCCACCTCAAAAGAGAGATCTTTGGAGGGTTTTCGGGGAATTCGGAGAGAAACTCGATCCGTTCTTACATGTTGTGGTCGAAACGACTATTACATCTTCAGGGCTAATGTACATGTCCTGCAAAGAGCTTGAGAAAGATTCGTTGACTCTTTCTAACAAAATTTTCAAAGTTCCAATCTTTGCGATTGGTCCGTTAGAAGCCTTGAAGAAAAAGGAAAGATTGTGAAATGGGCACCATAACAGGAGGTTCTTAAAGAGTTGGTTGTTTGCTAGATGTTGAAAAAATTTAAACATGAAAGGAAGAACAGAGCACAATAATCATTGCACTCGTTTGTCCATGAACTTGATAGCAATAATTATTAATCGAATAGAGACATGGTTAAAAGAACTGGAGTATCTAAGTTTGATCCGACTTTACAGAACAAGATACAAGATTTTTCAAAACTGTTATATTATTGATAGTAGTAGACGCCCTATTTTTGGGTTGAAAACTTGAGTTTCATTAGCAGCTTTTGTGATATTTGAAATCATTTTTAAGGGATATGTTTGAGTGATTTTGTTTTTACGATATGGGTAATACATATTACGTAGACTTTCATGTTTATTTACAAATGGATACACGCTTAAAAACATTTATTTGAGACTATTTGATGCTCATTAGTTACTTGTTATTAAGCCAGATTAAATAACCACTTGTTAATTGTTAGTGCTAATTCGTTAGCTGGAAAGCTGAGTAATTTTGTTTCCACTCGAGAGAGAGAGAAAATGGATCTGATCTTTCTTTTTTATATTATCACATCGAAAAGCGTAGAGTTAGGTGTCCACTATCAAGAATATCTTCGTAAATAACATATTAATTTCTTGTGTTATAGTAAACCTTCACTGGCTTATCAGATCTTTTTGCATTTGGATCGAGAAACAAGAAAGAAGGAGAAAGCTTCAATGGAGAAGAGTAATGGCCTGCGAGTGATTCTGTTTCCACTTCCATTACAAGGCTGCATCAACCCCATGATTCAGCTCGCCAAGATCCTCCACTCAAGAGGTTTCTCAATCACTGTGATCCACACGTCCTTCAACGCGCCAAAAGCTTCAAACCATCCTCTCTTCACCTTCTTAGAGATCCCAGATGGCTTGTCCGAAACAGAGAAAAGAACTAACAATACCAAACTTCTCCTAACGCTTCTCAACCGGAACTGTGAGTCTCCGTTTCGTGACTGTTTGACTAAACTGTTGCAATCTGCAGATTCAGAAACAGGGGAAGAGAAACAGAGGATTAGCTGTTTGATCAATGATTCTGGATGGATGTTCACACAACCCATTGCTCAGAGTTTGAAACTCCCGAGATTGGTACTTAGTGGGTTTACAGTCTCCTTCTATCGCAGCCAATTTGTTCTCCCTAAGCTCCGGCGTGAAGTGTATCTTCCACTCCAAGGTATTGTTATTTTTTGGTATAGACCAAGCAACTTGTTTATCTATAAATATATATATCTAAATTTTCTCAACAGATTCAGAACAGGAGGATCTAGTTCAGGAGTTTCCGCCGCTTCGAAAGAAGGATATTTTAAGGATTCTTGATGTAGAAACAGAGATATTAGATCCATTCTTGGACAAAGTTTTGAAAATGACAAAGGCGTCTTCAGGTCTTATATTCATGTCATGTGAAGAGTTGGACCAAGACTCAGTGAGTCAGGCACGTAACGATTTCAAAATTCCCATCTTTGGGATTGGACCATCTCACAGCCACTTTCCAGCTTCGTCTAGTAGCTTGTCCACACCCGACGAGACTTGCATTCCATGGTTAGACAAACAAGCAGACAGATCCGTGATTTACGTGAGTTACGGGAGCATCGTGACCATCAGCGAATCAGATTTAATGGAGATTGCTTGGGGTCTAAGAAACAGCGACCAACCCTTCTTGTTGGTCGTACGGGTTGGTTCAGTCCGTGGCACAGAATGGATCGAGACAATCCCGGAAGAGATCATCGCAAAGCTTAATGAGAAGGGAAAGATAGTGAAATGGGCTCCGCAACAAGACGTTCTAAAGCATCGAGCCATTGGGGGATTCTTGACACATAATGGTTGGAGCTCGACGGTTGAGAGTGTTTGTGAAGCCGTCCCTATGATCTGTTTGCCTTTTCGTTGGGACCAAATGCTAAATGCAAGATTTGTTAGCGATGTATGGATGGTCGGGATAAATCTAGAGGATCGGGTTGAGAGGAATGAGATCGAGAGAGCGATAAGGAGATTGTTGTTGGAAACTGAAGGAGAAGCCATCCGAGAGAGGATACAACTTCTTAAAGAAAAAGTAGAGAGATCGTTCGGACAAAACGGTTCGGCATATCAATCTCTACAAAATTTGATTGATTATATATCATCTTTCTAGCCATTGACATGTTGTTTATGTGTTTTAATTTTTCAACCGATAAATTGTTTGTGTATCAGAAATTTCTCCTTTGCGTGTTTTGCATTGTTGGAATAAATATACTGTATCTTCTTAACTTGGGATAGATATGCCTATATAAATACATATTGATTGAACATATACATATATCACTTTTATCAGTAGGACAAGATCGACATGGTCACATGGTGATTGGAAATATTTTATGGTTATTGTTTTATTATGATCCCATAAAAGAAGACAACTAGTCACATGCCCTACAGGGAAAACGAATCTGGTCTTTCTTTATTAGCTTACATCAAGAAGAGTATAGTTTTGTCTCACTCTCTACGTGATAACAATATATAGCATTGACTGCAATAGCAAGAGATCAGCATTTGGATAGAAGGTCAAAAGGAGAAAGGTACAATGGAGAAGACTAATGGCCTACGAGTGATTCTGTTTCCACTTCCATTACAAGGCTGCATCAACCCCATGATTCAGCTCGCCAAGATCCTCCACTCAAGAGGTTTCTCCATCACTGTGATCCACACGCGCTTCAACGCGCCCAAAGCTTCAAACCACCCTCTCTTCACCTTCTTACAGATCCCAGATGGCTTGTCTGAAACAGAGACAAGAACTCACGATGTCGAACTTCTCATAGCGCTTCTCAACCGAAACTGTGAGTCTCCGTTTGGTGACTGTTTGAGTAAACTGTTGCAATCTGTAGATTCAGAAACAGGGGAAGAGAAACAGAGGATTTGCTGTTTGATCCATGATTCTGGTTGGATCTTCACACAATCCCTAGCCAAGAGTTTGAATCTACTGAGATTGGTCCTTAGTACCTATACGATATCCTTCTTTAGAAGCCATTTTGCTCTTCCTCAGCTCCGGCGTCAAATGTATCTTCCATTACAAGGTATTATTACATGCTTCTCACTTTGCCAAAAACTATCTTATATGATTATCAATATTTTTTTTTACTATAATGTTGGCGTTCTTGGTACAATTTTCTTTTGCAATATCGTAAAATAGCCATTTTTTGTCTAACTTACTGGCACATATGAAAACATCCAACTACAACCTGCACTGCTTCTAAGGACTAGGTAGGTTTTTTTATTGGTCATTATAGATGTATTAAATTGTAAAAACACCCGATTTTATAAATTTCGAGGATCAAAATCTATGCTTCGATCCATAATCTATCTCAGTTACAAAAAGGTCACATATATGAAAATATTATTTAGATTATGTGAAAAAGGTCATATATATGAAAAAGATCCATAAACTAGCATTTTGGTACATGTCATATAGATTTACTAATTAAAATTGTTCTTTTGGTCCCAAAATATACAGATTTTTAAATTTTAATTAATAAATTTATTTTCGTGGTGCTAATTCTGACGAAATCATATTTTTGATTGTATCCCAATTGTTTCATAGATTCAGAACAAGATGATCCAGTTGAGGAGTTTCCACCACTTCGAAAGAAAGATATTTTACGGATTCTTGATGTAGAAACAGAGTCACTAGATTCGTGCTCGGAGATGATTTTGAAAACGACAAAGGCGTCTTCAGGTCTTATATTCATGTCCTGTGAAGAGTTGGAACAAAAGTCACTGAGTCAGGCACGTGAAGATTTTAAAATTCCGATCTTTGCGATAGGACCTTCTCATAGTCACTTTCCTGCTTCTTCTAGTAGCTTGCTCACACCGGACGATACTTGCATTCCATGGTTAGACAAACAAGAAGACAAATCCGTAATTTACGTGAGTATTGGGAGCATCGTGACCATCAGCGAACCAGAGTTAATGGAGTTTGCTTGGGGTCTAAGTAACAGCGACCAACCGTTTTTATGGGTCGTCCGGGTTGGTTCAGTCAATGGCACGGAATGGATTGAGACAATCCCGGAAGATTTCATCAAAAGGCTTAATGAGAAGGGAAAGATAGTAAAATGGGCTCCACAACAAGAGGTTCTAAAGCATCGAGCCATTGGAGGATTTTTGACACATAATGGTTGGAACTCGACGGTTGAGAGTGTTTGTGAAGGCGTCCCTATGATCTGTTTGCCTTTTCGTTGGGACCAAATGCTAAATGCAAGATTTGTTAGCGATGTATGGATGGTTGGGATACATCTAGAGGGTCGGATTGAGATGAATGAGATTGAGGGAGCGATAAGGAGATTATTGTTGGAAACTGAAGGAGAAGCCATCCGAGAGAGGATAGAGCATCTTAAGGAGAAAGTAGGAAGATCGTTTAAACTAAACGGTTCCGCATATCAATCTCTACAAAATTTGATTGATTACATATCATCTTTCTAGCCATTGACATGTTGTTTCTTTATGTTTTAGTTTCTCAACCGATAAATTGTTTGTGTATCAGAAATATCTTCCTTTGTTTTTTGCATTGTTTTAGAATATTAAAAACATCTTCCTTACTTGGAATATATCCCTATATAAAAATACATATTGATGGAATATCACTTTTATTACATTGATTTGTAGTTGGACCGGTTGAAATATAAAAAACAAGAGAATATATACAATAATTTTGCATACGCGTAATACTTGTATATATATACAATTACTTACTAGTACAACGGATCTTGTCATTTTTTCTTTTCCCGTAATTAATTAAAATAAAATAAAATCAGACCACTAGTTACATGCTCTAGAGGAAAAACGAATCTGGTCTTTCTTTATTAGCATATCAAAAAGAGTATAGTTTTGTCTAACTCTCGTCTTGATAACAATAACTTAATTTCTTATGTTATATAGATATCTGTTCTCAAATGGAAAATAATAACAGCATTCACTGAGATATCAGGAGATCTACATTTGGACTGAAAGTCAAAAGGAGAAAGGTTCAATGGATAAGAGTAATGGCCTACGAGTGATTCTGTTTCCACTTCCATTACAAGGCTGCATCAACCCCATGATTCAGCTCGCCAAGATCCTCCACTCAAGAGGTTTCTCCATCACTGTGATCCACACGCGCTTTAACGCGCCAAAAGCTTCAAGCCACCCTCTCTTCACCTTCTTACAGATCCAAGATGCCTTGTCTGAAACAGAGACAAGCACTCACGATGTCACACTGCTACTAACGCTTCTCAACCGAAGCTGTGAGTCTCCGTTTCGTGAATGTTTGACTAAACTTTTGCAATCTGCAGATTCAAAAACAGGGGAAGAGAAACAGAGGAATTGCTCTTTGATCCATGATTCTGGTTGGATCTTCACACAACCCATTGCTAAGAGTTTGAATCTCCCGAGATTGGTCCTTAACACCTATAAAGTCTCCTCCTTTCGGGACCATTTTGTTCTTCCTCAGCTCCGGCGTGAAATGTATCTTCCATTACAAGGTATTATTTACTTCTCACTTTACCAAAAGCTGTCTTAATTCTGTGATTACCAATATTGTTGAGTGTTGACGTTTTTGGTCCGATCTTCTTTAGATAAATCTGGAAATGACGATATTTGTTTTAAGTATTACAGGCAAATTCATATGAATTTATCCTATATGGATCTCTACTTTTGACCCTTTTCTTGGTCATTACTCATTAGAAATCTCAAATAGCAAAAATATCCAAAAAAAACATATGAAAATATAATCTTATCAACATTTGTTCACATATGAATTGACATTAATTTTTTTGGTTCCATTTGTTAGTACGAGTCTTTTTTTTTTTTATATATGCTAATTACAAAAATGTGTAAATGTAGAACTTTTGGTCACAATATATAAGTTTTTTCTAAATTTCCTAAATATATTTTTGTGGTGTTAGTTTCAATAAAGATAATCTTGATATTATCTCAATTGTTTTAAACAGATTCAGAACAAGATGATGATCCAGTTCAGGAGTTTCCACCGCTTCTAAAGAAAGATCTTATACAAATTCTTGATAAAGAAACGGAGATACTAGACTCGTACACAAAGATGATTTTGGAAACGACAAAAGCGTCTTCAGGTCTTATATTTGTATCCTCATGTGAAGAGTTGGACCAAGACTCATTGAGTCAAGCACGTGAAGATTTTCAAGTCCCGATCTTTACGATAGGACCTTCTCACAGCTACTTCCCAGGCTCATCTAGTAGCTTGTTCACAGTGGACGACACTTGCATTCCATGGTTAGACAAGCAAGAAGACAAATCCGTGATTTACGTGAGTTTCGGGAGCATCACGACCATTAGCGAAGCAGAGTTCATGGAGATTGCTTGGGGTCTAAGAAACAGCAACCAACCCTTCTTGTGGGTCGTACGGGTTGATTCGGTAGTCCATGGCACAGAAAGGATCGATGAACAGCTTCATGAGAAAGGAAAAATAGTGAATTGGGCCCCACAACAAGAGGTTCTAAAGCATCGAGCCATTGGAGGATTCTTGACCCACAATGGTTGGAACTCGACGGTTGAGAGTGTTTTTGAAGGCGTCCCTATGATCTGTTTGCCTTTTGAATGGGACCAATTGCTAAATGCAAGATTTGTTACTGACGTATGGATGGTTGGGCTGCATCTAGAGGGTCGGATTGAGAGGAATGTGATTGAGGGAGTGATAAGAAGATTATTTTCGGAAGCTGAAGGAAAAGCAATCCGAGAGAGGATGGAACTTCTTAAGGAGAAGGTAAGAAGATCAGTTAAACCAAAAGGCTCTTCATATCGATCGTTACAACATTTGATTGATTATATATCATCTTTCTAGCTATATTATCTCTTGTTTTTTTGTGTTCTAATTTTTCAGTTGATCAATTGTTTGTGTATTCAGGACATTCTTCCTTTGTGTTTCGCATTGTTGGAATAAAAGTTGGATTATGATTTACAAAAAAATATTGTTGATGGAATATAAAACAAATCCTTGTTATTTTAAATCTACTTCATTGATGTAAAATCAGTGACGAATCTCTTGATCCTATAACAATGAAAACCCATAAACAAATAAAACCTTTTTCACTTATGCTTTTAGGATTTTTGATCTTACGGTTTGGCTTAAGTTTCATTCCTAGTCATTGACACCTCACTTAAACAATGACACACTCAAATGGATATGCGTATTTGAATACTTACCAAAGTCTTCCTATTTTGGTGCAATTTAGTTTCCTATTTTCTTGCATCACACAAACTTACCGTAATTAATTAATTAATGTTTAATATATATAATCTACTAGCTAACACATGATTTACTTTTATATACCATAAATTATTTTGCACCATTTCCTTTAAGCTCATCACCCACTCCACTCACACAATCATGCGATCTTTTCCGCCGTCACCATCCATCCCCCGCATACATCGAAAACGATACGCATCATCATCATCTACATGAAGACTTCACTCTTATGATCATCGTCTTCGTTTTGTATGGCATTGTTGCCATAAGGTATGTAACCTTTAATGATGGTTCTCGTGGAACTAATCTTAGCTTCCAGAGACAGCTACCGCCACTGCAGCCGCCAATGTGTCCGCGGCAGATTGAGGCGATGATTAAGGACATAGTTGTTGACGTGGAATTGTGTTGTCCAATATGTCTTGAGGATTTGAAGAAGGTTGATGATGATAATGGCCGTGGCGATGATGATAAAGTCGTGGTTTGTTTATCCAAGTGCCATCATAGTTTCCACATGAAGTGCATTTTTTCTTGGCTTAGACAAAGTCAGGATTGTCCCATTTGTCGTACCTCTGTTTATCGAGGTGAAGTTACATTGATCAATAATGGTGTAGGCCTAGGAGATCAAGCGTAGCGTTATAAACCATATTTTAACATAATTTTGGTTTTCGTGTTTCGTTTATTATCTTCACTCACTAGTATCATTATTTTTCGTCATAAATGTCACTTCCTATTTATTTCTTTCGTTCTGTAATTGTTCCATTTATGGCTTTGATTGAGAGAAGTAAACAAGCAATGGCGACTTGTCACAGAACCACAATGTGTTGTTGGAACTGAACACTGTTTATAGGCTAAGGATCATTGACAAGACTCGTGTGTTTTTAAGTTGAGAAAAACTAAAGTACACTTCGCAAGGAAACAATTTGCGTCAAAGCCACATCAATCAATGTGGAGCGTTTTCTGGTCACTATTCACCATCGTAAAATAAAAAAGCAACTGTCTTTAAGAATCCATGGCTAAAACGACCAGTTAGTTCTTATGTCTTAGACTCACAGGTTTGGTCTCTCTTTGTGGCAAATGTTTCTGCAACCAACAAAGGGAAGGCTATGGTAGCATCACAGTATACCTGCAAGAATGATCCAATATCAAATATGTGCTCAAAACCATTGAGTGAGATATTAGTTAGGATGCAAAGAATTTAAAAGCAGGTTTGAATCAGACCTTAACGGTTTTAGCAGAACCCCTAATTTTACCCCAAGACACGGCTTCATCAGGGCGTGCACCCGAGTCGCTCCCATCAAATTCTTGCCCGGTGTTTATGAATACAGCGTAATCTGCACCATTACGCATCATGTTGGCATTACATATGTGGTGCTTTGGCAAGCCCCCTCCAAGGATTATCATTCCTGTCTTTCTCGGAGTTGCATGGACAGCTTCACCATTCATAGCTCTGATATCTGTTCATAAAACGTTAACTGTTTCAAGGACTATATCCATACACGTTTAAAACGTAAACATTGTGATAACTGATAAGATTCAAATAGATAAAGTCCTTTATTCAAATCACCAACAGACCAAACTGTAGAAGAGTTTGATTAACAACTAACAGTATAATTATTCTCTAACTCTCAACCCAGTGCCCCAGACCAAAATCAAAATGCCCCTATGCTATTCTCATAGCTCCCGTTTAAACCTTAAGCTATCAATTAGCAGTAAAGTAAGTATGTTGCTGAATTGGAAAGCTACAATTCAGTAATTCACTGCTAGTTACAATAGTTCTCCACTAGATACAGCACAGATAATTTACAACAATGACTCATTGAATGAAAAGAAGAACCTTGCACTACATCGATGATAAGGCCAGAGGTACGAAAGGAGTGAAAATACAGCATATCGCCGAGAGAGCCATCTGTTAACCCCGGGCAGAATACTGGAATATTCATCTACAAACACCACAAGAGGCAGGAAAAATTCAATCCCCGAGTTCATCACAGGATGTCCAAAAGACTACCAAAAAGGGTAAAGATTTTTGTTACCTTGTATGCCCAATAAAGGTATGAACTCTCATTGTTGATTTCTTTTCCCAGCCGTGCTAACAGTTTAGAAGGTGTCCACAACACATTCTACAAGGAAAAACCAGAGAAAGAAGGATTCACCAACGAAGTCAATGATGCAAGAGAGGAAGCAAAATCTATCTCCTCTCATTAAACTTAGATACACGGACAAAACCATTCAAATCCAAGGAAAGATCGAGCAATACCTCTTCTTTCTGTTCCTTCAACATCTCATCAAATATAGGAATGATCCAATCCTCAAACTTGCAGTAGTTATCATTAGGAACGAGCAAGTTCCCAATTCGGTTCAATCCCTTTGACCGTAGATAAGCTCCAGGTAGAGAGAAATCACCTTTAAATGTAGGTGCAAGGCATTTAATGAGATCTTCCTCAACACCACCAGTTGTAGTGACTATAACATCAACCTGCAGAAAACCATTGAAATCAAACTAAAGCTCGAAAATTTAACATCTATAATAATAAACAAGGGTGATAAAGCAAAAATCACAAACCATATGATGCTGAACAAGATAACGAATAGTATCTCTAACACCAGATGAAACAAGATTGGAAGTGAAACCCAGAAAGATTTTACACTTGACAGACTCTCTATACGATGGGTCTTTCTCCTCTGCACTACAGTCTTCAGATACTATAGTTTCATCAGCCAGTCTCCAATCTAGCTTCAATACAAATTCAAACCCTTTGTTACTACTTAAAAAAAAAAAAAGGAAATTCGAGAATCGGAAGAGAATAAAAACCATTTGATTGACGACATCAATGGCTTCGCCGAGATTAGAGGCTTGAAATCCAGTGGTGAGCATGGATCGCATAAGCTTTGGGTAATTGACTCCCTGATTGAAATCGTATCCTTGGATTTTATCACACTTTCCTTCTAGCGATTCGGATTCTTTGAAAACTGTTGAGTGAACCGAAGAGAAAACACGATCCTCCATAGTTGCTCCAAGTTCAAAATTGATTTCCCTGGATCTGGAACTGCAAGTGTACTGGAGGGTTTTGTGAGTTCTAGGGTTCTTCTAGTAAACGGAATAAAGATGGAACCATCTTCAAACGAATCTTTGCTGACAAATGTTGTTGTGTTTGGTCCGAATCTAAAATCGGTTTAATGAAATTCGAAGCGCGCGATTAAATCCGGTATTGGTATGGTATGGTTCGGTTCGTTCCGGTATTTATTTTTTATGTTTTTTCTATTGATACATACAACAAAGCTTGTTCACTAACACATTGAGGTGTGGGATCACGATCACTCTTATTGCTCGAACACACGAATCAATCAAATCTTTACACATTCACTTGAAACCAATTTTGTACAAAAAGGATTATAACTGCAAACACAAGAATCTGATAAATTCAAACCTATACTGACATTATATATGTAAAGACGTATGTATAGACGTATACTTTTCACCTTTTGGGAGAAAACACTCCAGGTTTCATTCTGATCCAGAATTGATTTGATGATGATGATGACAACTATTCTAATATCCCTTCTGGTTCCTTATATTCTCCAAATTTATCTGCACAAATCCAATAAAAATAACAATACATGAACAACATGGCCATTACACAAACCAAAACTAACAGTTCGTGTGTGTTTCCCTATATTACCAGGAGAAGATCTTCATCTGTACCAAACGATTTCCGGGCATTCTCCAGGCATTTTGATGATATCCTCTCATGTATCCTGCAACAAGTCTCTCTGTCAATTCTTACTAGTGTCGACTGAGTAATGGCAATTGCACGTTCCAAGATGATTGCATAACTGTTCTCTCTTATGTCTATTCATAGAGAGTATGAGAACTCGCATCTTAAAACACTATATGTGATGGGATATCTGAGTATAAAACCAACCTACTAATACCTTGGAACACAATTTTCCATTGTGTTTAGATTTTAACTCATTCCTAATTTAACATGTTCCTATGTTTTATGTTAACAGATGAACATGGCAACCAGATTTAACATCTCAGGAAAATGCTGGAGGGCACCGATTTGTAAGTATTGAAGCAATGAGATATAACAAGAAATTACTTGGAACTGGCGGGATCTCTGATCTCGAACTCATCTCTAACAGCATCATAGCCACATATCACGATATAGTGACCTATTGGAAACACCAAGGAAACAAATAGATGTAAGAAATTTTGCAAATGTAGTCTTTACAGTTTGAGCTTCTAGATTTAAGCTTTTGTTCATTAAAGAATGATCCTTTTGTCTGGTCTTGGTTTCATAAGTTCCCGGAGTTCCAATGATTATAACAGAGATAATCAACATAAGAGAATCAAGGATGTGAAACTGGGGTTCCCATTTTGGAAGAAGAAGAAAACAGAGTCTAAGGCTAGGGGACAATTCTCACCAGTGTAGCAGGAGTTGCTGGAGTGAAGACCAGCGACAATCACTTCCTCCAACCAAGACTTGCTGCAACAGTAAAAGACGAGCATGAACACTATGCAACTTCTTTATCATACTTCTTGCACAAACACTTGAAACAAGAAAGGCACATAAACACTTAATCAAGGGAAAACAATATTCTCGGAGAAAGGCTTAAGATATGTCAGTGAGCAAATTTTGTGAAGAACATGAAAGAAGCAGCACACATTCAAAATTTGTTAATGAAGGGATCTGAATAGAGCGAATATATGAGAAGAGAAAAAAAAGAGATAACCGACCTTAGCTTGTCCTGGTCGACTAACGCAATGGCAATATAGTTCCCGGACAATAGCAAACAAGATATCTCATGGATACTAACTGTTCTGCACTGCAAAAACGATAAGGTTGATTGAATTTGATTTCTAAATAATTAATGGATTACACAAGGGAAGATTTGATGACAAGTGACTTTCCGCAGAAAATCCTAAAACAATGCACCGATTTAAAGCGGAGTGTCTACAACAAAAGATCATGTCGTGGTAACATCTTTGGGTAGAAGAATTGCCCGCGTATTTCAAGCAACACTAATGGAACAAAAAATAGCCAGCACTTTTTTTTGAAGACCAGAGCAAGTAGAAACGTTTGGCCAAACAGTTTTACCTGTATAATAATGCCAGATTCATGTGCTTTCCTGAAGAGCAAATCCACACGCACCAGATCTTCAGGGAGCTGCTCCTGCATCATGATTGCCAAAAACGAACATCTTGAATATTATCTACTTACAAGAAAAATCAGGCAATGCTCACCATTTCACTAACATACTCGCTAAAGCACACAGCATCACATGGTGCAAGAGAAACTATTAAATAAAAATATAGAGGTCTTTGCCATCTATAGTCCAGATACCTTGTAAAACTCCTCAATGGAATAATTCGGGTTTGCTCCAAATGTTATCGTGTAATAGGAAAATTCCACACAGAACTTCTGCAGTAAATATGCGAGATCTACAGTCCAAATGCTGCAGAAATGTCAAAAGTCGATGATAAGTATCATACTGAGATAGCATTCCCTACCAAATATTATCATCTTTAAGAAGCAGATAGGGCACATAATATTTCTAATGGGATTAAACTGCTGATGACCATTTTACTAAGGTATAATAGACAGACCTATTTGTGGAGCAAATCTCAGCCAAATCCTCAAGAGTGCAGCTTGCGATGCCAATTGCTCTGAGAACCATAAGAACACAAGCGAGACCGCAATCCCATGAAGCTAACTGATGTACATGAGGGACCTAATAGCAATACAAGGACCAGCAACATGGCAAAGAGGACGATAAGTTTGCAGCAAATATAGATTTCCTAATTTATATTGATCGGTCTTACCTCAATGCGGGACGAGGATGGCAACCCTGCATCTCGATACTTTCCATCACTCACCAACGGATCATCGAATTGGCAGTATTTCGGAGAAGTCAAATCTCCATGTCCTTCTAGTCTCCCCTGATTCCTCTCTTCAACTCTTAATAGCTTGTTAAGCAGAAAACAAAGAGGCCACATCAAATTACCAAGTGCGCTGTTACGTGGTCATAAAACACACTTGTAACAGCCTTCTCTAATGATCTGTTTGTGGATCCCCAAAACTAGTAGGATTAAATACACCTGCATATGCAACACAACGGAAGAATCATCAAAAAACGAATAAACTCACAAAGCGAGCTAAATCCTTCAGGAAAAGCTCGAATTCTCGAAATTGAAGCTACCTCAAACCTAAACCCCTAAAACGATGACTTTTCTTCGACAACAGAAATCTACCTAAAAGGGTTCAACGAAAAGTACCCAAAAGAAAACTTATTGAATCCAAAAACCCAGTTTTGATTAAATCTCCAGTGGCACCAACCAGAAAGTCTCACAGTTGCGAACCCATGACGCTAAAATTCATAATAGATGCGAATCTCTAAGTGACGCAACCCAACATTTAAAATCGAGAAATCTGTGATCTGGTTCGTCAGGATTGTACCAATCGATTGGAGGGAGAGAGAAGAAGAAGAATATACCTTTGCTTAAGATGCAAGAGAGACAGCGAGCGAGAGATGATTAGAGAGAGAGAGAGAGAGAGAGAGAGAGAGAGAGAGAGAGAGAGAGAGACATTATGGGGTCTGCAGCTTGTTGGCTTTAACCCAGATGAAGAAGAGTTTTGTTACTCAATTTTTCTGGGGAAATCAAAAAGGTTTTGGATAAAGGAGACGAGGACCTGTATCTTCACGTTTTTCGTGTTTTTTGTTGGTTTTGGTCTTGGGATAGCGACGAATCCTGAGATTGTTCTAATTTCAATCTTTTCTTCTTCTTGTTATTGTTGTCTTGTTCTTCTTATTCATCCTTCAACTGTTTTCTTACCAAATAAAATGGCAGCAATAAAACCGTTCAAATAAGTTGGAACGTGAAAAATCACGTTCTAAATAACTTCAAAACGTGATTTATCAATATTTCACCGTTCAGAACATGAAATCGTTTACCACTTTTTCACGTTTCCAAACATGTTTTTGATTAAATTTTCTTTTAATTCAAAAAGAATTATCATGTATTCAAAAGAAAAAAAAAAAACTAATAATTGTTGTATTCAAAAAGATTTATCAAGTTAAAAAAAACTAATTATTATATTAGTCTATTTAAAACAGTTAAAAGTGTTTTATGTCTATTCTATGAAACCCTCTATTCATCTATAATATTTTTGTTATTCAATAATATTATGCGATTTAGCAATCAATCTCACCGGCTAATGCTTACAATAACAAAAATTTGGTCGTTATAATTTTTTTTAAAAATAGGTTGTTTCATTTCAGTGAAGTTTTTTTTTTTAATTTTTATGATATCTTTTCTTATGAAATTTATGGCTGTATTTATTATGATTAGTGAGTTTATTCTTAAGGTTGAGGTTGGCATATGGTTAAACAACCCTATTGCTTCATGCTTAATTAGTTTATGTAGGTTAACTTGTCCTTAGATCTTAAGATAATATGTTTAGTTTAAAAAAAAAAAAAAGATCTTAAGATAATATGTATGCAGCCAGCGCTACATGTTTTGAACCATGTTTAGATAGTTTCCATTGCAATCTCATGGTATATGAGAATTGAAGTAAGGTTTAGACTTCGTGCTCTCAGTTATTATCACTTATCAAATGTGATTGAGTTTGAAACCTGAAACCTAGTGTTTATCTAGACTCCATATATAAACTCTCACGATATTTTGGTCATGAGTACGATAGTTTATCTAATTTGAATGGAACATCAAGACATTCCAATTCAACTGCGTTTCGCTCCTGAATAGAAAACGAATGCTTGTCTACGGATTGCATTTTGCACCTATGTAACGTGAGAGAATTCATGATCGGGAATGTAAGAAGAAATGGAACTGAACAAAACGGGGCCAAAGCTTTTTTGTCCATTCTCCATCGATACTGGTAACTAAAATATTTCTTTATATCCAAAAAAAAGAGTCTATAGGTCGGTCGTTTTCCTTTGAATTCAAACCTCTTACGAGATTTTTTAAAAATACTGTAAAAAGGAAAAGTCTATAAAAGACAATAATATATGCCAAAAAAAAAGTATGAAGACATGGGTTTGAAAACCGAGATTGAATGTAGAAGGCGGGACTTGGAACACATTAAACATATATACAAAAAAAGTATATAAAAGTCATTAAGAGAATAGAATATCAATATAGATTTTAAATTAAAAATTAAAATTACGACATTTGCGAAAAGTAAAATTTATGTGAGTGCTGTGTCCAAAAAGTCAAAAACTGTCACTTTAATAAAAAGTACTATACCTATATACACAAGTCATTTGAATTTTGGTAAAACACATCCGTTATGCTGTTAACAATTCGAATTTAGACAGTCCATAACCTTGCACTTTTATTTTACTAGTAATCAATAGTATCGCTTTATTGAAGTTCAAATTTTAGAATTGTTAGATGTGATGGACATGACAAAACAAAGTAGTTGTTTATTCTTTTTTTTTTTATATTAATGAAAATTATACATTTCTTAGAAAAACTAATAAACTTTTTTTGTATATATAAATTAATATGTAACAAATTGATTAATCAGATAAATAATGGATTTTACTCTTTCATTTGAAAGAGTATTTTTTGTTTTCTGCTTTCAAAGTCAATAAGTCATAAAGCTACGCCTAATTGTGGGAGGTTAGGCCTTTAAGCGGCTACTGTGGAGATGAAACCGTGATGACCAAGTTATGACACGATGAGATAAGGACTCAGTTGTTTAACTCATGTCTTACCAAAGTTGATGTAAATTGAACCATGGTAAGATTGCTTTTGGGACCACAGATAGGAGAAACGGCTACATGGCCAGCAAGGCGTCCGTACTCGTTGTCTTCTGGTGCTTTCAAATGATAAAGCAGTCTTTGTCTCATCTGTGAAGGTGACTCCTATGAGCTGTCACCAGCGACAAGAAGGAGGAGCGTCTACTTTAGGTCATTGCACAGGTTCCTTATGCAATTGCTATAAAAGGAACGGTTAAGGTAAAGAGAGAGCGGTGTGTTGCTGAGTGAGATAGAGTGAGAGAAAGCTTGTATTTGCATAAACTTATTTCAAGTTGTTCTCTAAGGTTAGAAACAGATAGAGTGAGCACCAAGTGCTAGTGAAGGGCATTGGTGCGGGTCACTTATTGTTTCTTGTTGTAATCTCTGTCTTGAATCTAGTGGATTCCGAGTATGATACTCGGCCCAGACGTAGCTACCCTTTGGGAGTGAACTGGGTTACCAAAGCTCTTGTGTGCTCTCTTTTATTTTCGTTACAAATACTCTCTGTCTCTCTTACATCTCTAAAAACACCAAACACTCTGTTCTCACATCCTCTGTTTTCTCTCTGCAACTTTCATTTGATTCCGTGTATCTCTGTTCTTGGTTTGTGAGGTGTTCTCTCAAGGAAAGTCGACGCCTTGGGGTTTAAGGATTCCTTACAAAGTGGTATCAGAGCAAGGTTCATTGTTCTCTGGTTCTATAAAGTTTCAAAGACACTGAACCATGTCATCGGCGAGAATAGAGATTGAAAAGTTTGATGGGCGTGGAGACTACACCATGTGGAAGGAAAAACTCATGGCACATCTGGATATACTTGGCCTGAGTTCTGCTCTTAAGCAAGTTGACGTTTTGGTGGAGAAAGTTTCAGATCTGAAGTTATCTGAAGAAGAAGAGAAAGAAGAGATAGAAAAGCGTGAAGCTTTAGAAGAAAAACTGAGAAAAGCGAGAAGCACCATTGTGTTGAGTGTTACTGATAGGGTTTTAAGGAAGATCAAGAAACAGCAGACTGCAGCTGCTATGATAATTGCACTGGACAAGCTATACATGTCAAAGGCGCTTCCAAACCGGATCTATCTGAAGCAGAAGCTTTATAGCTTCAAAATGTCAGAAAATCTCAGCATTGAAGGTAATATAGACGAGTTTCTACATATTATAGCTGATCTAGAGAATACAAATGTCTTAGTATCGGATGAGGATCAAGCTATACTGTTGTTGATGTCTCTGCCTAAGCCATTTGATCAACTAAGAGATACTTTAAAGTATGGTTCAGGAAGAACTACATTAACGCTAGATGAGGTTGTAGCAGCTATCTACTCTAAGGAACTAGAGTTAGGATCTAGCAAGAAAAGTATTAAGGGTCAGGCTGAGGGTCTCTATGTGAAAGAAAAGAATGAGACCAGAGGAAGATCTGAGCAGCGAGAGGGTAACAATAGCAAGAATCAAAGATCTAGATCTAAATCAAGATCTAAGAAGGGCTGTTGGATATGTGGAGAGGAAGGACATTTCAAAGGGTCCTGTCCTAATAAGAATAAGTCTCAGTCTCATAATAAGGGTAATAACAACAAAGGAGAATCGTCTAAAGGCAAAGGAAACTTAGCAGAGGCCAACGGTTTGTATGTGTCTGAAGCCTTGTCTTCTACTGACATACATCTTGAAGATGAATGGGTCATGGATACCGGCTGTAGTTATCATATGACTTACAGGAGGGAATGGTTCGAAGATCTTAATGAAGATGTTGGCGGGTCTGTGAGAATGGGAAACAAGACTGTTTCAAAAGTTAAAGGGATTGGATCAATCCGTGTCAGAAGTGAAGCTGGTCTAGTGGTTCTACTTACAAATGTAAGATACATCCCAGACATGGACAGAAACTTGTTGTCTCTGGGAACTTTTGAGAAAGCAGGCTATGGTTTTAAGTCAGAAAATGGAGTTCTCAGTATCATGGCTGGAGACAATGTTCTGCTTACACGAAGAAGGTGTGATACTCTATATCTCTTACAATGGAGTCCAGTAATAGCAGAATCACTGTCAGTGGTTAGAAGGGAAGATGATACTGTTCTATGGCACCGGAGACTTGGTCACATGAGTCAGAAAAATATGAACTTATTACTGAAGAATGGTTTCCTAGACAAGAAGAAAGTATCTACCCTGGAAACCTGTGAGGATTGCATATATGGTAGAGCTAAAAGAATTGGTTTCAACTTGGCTCAACATGATACCAAAGAGAAGCTAGAATATGTGCATTCTGACCTATGGGGAGCTCCATCAGGGCCATTATCCCTAGGTAAATGTCAATACTTCATTTCATTTATTGATGACTATACTAGGAAAGTTTGGCTTTATTTTCTGAAAACCAAGGATGAGGCTTTTGATAAATTTGTTGAATGGGCTAACCTTGTTGAGAACCAAACTGACAAGAGGATAAAAACTCTTAGAACAGACAATGGTCTTGAGTTTTGTAACAGGTTGTTTGATGAGTTCTGTGCATCTAAGGGAATTCAAAGACACAGGACGTGTGCCTATACTCCGCAACAAAACGGTGTTGCTGAACGCATGAACAGAACTGTAATAGAAAAGGTTAGAAGTATGCTAAGTGACTCTGGTCTCCCAAAGAAATTTTGGGCAGAGGCTACACATACCGCATCCATTCTCATCAACAAGACAGCATCAGCTGCTCTGAACTTTGAAATACCTGACAAGAAGTGGTCAGGAAAGGCGCCAATCTACAGTTACTTAAGAAGATTTGGTTGCGTTGCTTTTGTACACACTGATGATGGGAAGCTCAGTCCAAGAGCTAAGAAAGGGATACTCATAGGATATCCTATTGGTGTTAAAGGGTACAAGATTTGGTTGCTAGAAGATAAGAAGTGTGTTGTGAGCAGAAATGTCATATTTCAAGAAAATGCATCATACAAAGATTTGATGCAGAGCAAGCAAATTGACAACGATGATGAAGCAGAGTCATCAAATTCTTATCTTGACTTGGATCTTGATACTGAAGAAGATGTCACTTCGGGTGGAGAACATTCATCAGAATTTAATGGTCAATTGCAGGCAGTTTCAAGTCCTGCAACACCAAGTTCCCGAAATGACGTTGTTGAATTGGAGACTGACATAAACCAGTCACCAATAAGCTATCATCTGGCCAGAGATCGAGATAGGAGAGAAATCAGAGCACCTATACGGTTTGATGATGAAGACTATCTCTCTGAAGCTCTGTATACTACAGAAGATGGTGGAGAAATTGAACCTGCTGATTATAAAGAAGCTAGAAGGAATGCTAACTGGTTTAAATGGAAGAATGCGATGAATGAGGAAATGGATTCTCAAACCAAAAACCATACTTGGACAGTAGTTAAAAGACCACTGAATCAGAGAGTTATTGGAAGTAGATAGATCTACAAATTCAAGATGGGAATCCCTGGTGTTGAGGAACCAAGATTCAAAGCAAGACTTGTTGCCAAGGGATATGCTCAAGGAGAAGGTATTGATTACCATGAGATCTTTGCTCCAGTAGTTAAGCATGTATCCATAAGGATCCTACTATCAATAGTTACTCAAGAAGATCTGGAATTGGAGCAGTTAGATGTTAAAACTGCTTTCCTCCATGGAGAGTTAAAGGAGAAGATCTACATGGTTCCTCCTGAGGGTTATGAAGACTTATTCAAAGAAGATGAAGTATGTCTCCTTAACAAGTCCCTATATGGTCTCAAGCAAGCTCCTAAGCAATGGAATGAAAAATTTGACACTTATATGTCTGAAATTGGCTTCTTAAGGAGTGAGTATGACAGTTGTGCATACATGAAGAAGTTGGTTGATGGTTCAATGGTTTATTTACTCCTCTATGTAGATGATATGCTGGTGGCAGCAAAGAACAAAGAAGATATATCTCAGTTCAAAAGGGAACTTAGTCAAAGATTTGACATGAAGGATTTGGGAGCTGCTAAACGAATCCTTGGTATGGAGATTATCAGAAACAGAGCTGAAGGTGCTTTATGGCTGTCACAAGAAGACTATCTGAATAAAATTCTTGAGACATACAACATGTCAGAGTCAAAACATGTAATGACTTCACTGGGAGTTCATCTAAAGATGAGAGCTGCTTCAGCAGAAAAACAAGCTCAAGACAAAGACTACATGAAGACAGTGCCTTACTCAAGTGCTGTAGGAAGCATCATGTACGCAATGACAGGTACTCGTCCTGATCTTGCTTATCCTGTGGGAATCATTAGTCGTTACATGAGTAACCCAGTTAAAGATCACTAGCTTGGTGTTAAGTGGGTCTTAAAGTACATTAAAGGCTCACTGAGGACCCGACTTATGTACAAGAGAAACAGTGAATTCAAGATCACTGGTTACTGTGATGCTGATCATGGTGCTGACAAAGATAAAAGAAGATCAATCACTGGTTTAGTGTTTACTCTTGGAGGCAACACTATCAGCTGGAAGTCAGGCTTACAGAGAGTTGTAGCTCTCTCATCAACTGAGTCAGAGTATATGTCACTTACTGAAGCTGTAAAGGAAGCAGTGTGGCTGAAGGGGTTGTTGAAAGAATTTGGTTTTGATCAAAGAAGTGTGGAGATCTTTTGTGACTCTCAAAGTGCAATTGCACTCTCCAAGAATAATGTGCATCATGAAAGAACGAAGCACATAGATGTCAGATACCATTTCATTCGTGAAATCATTGCTAATGGTGATGTTGATGTGGTGAAAATTGATACTGAGAAGAACCCTGCAGATATTTTCACCAAGATTGTGCCTGTAAACAAGTTTCAGGCGGCTTTGACCCTGTTACGGGTCATGCCTGAGTAGTAAAACTCAGGAGGGAATCCGAGTAAGGGATCCTGCAACTAGGTTCAGAGGTATTGCTCTCTTCTTTCTCTAAGTTTGTGCAAGTTTCAGGTTTCTGTCATCAAGTTTTCAGGTGGAGATTTGTGGAGATGAAACCGTGATGACCAAGTTATGACACGATGAGATAAGGACTCAGTTGTTTAACTCATGTCTTACTAAGGTTGATGTAAATTGAACCATGGTAAGATTGCTTTTGGGACCACAGATAGGAGAAACGGCTACATGGCCAGCAAGGCGTCCGTACTCGTTGTCTTCTGGTGCTTTCAAATGATAAAGCAGTCTTTGTCTCATCTGTGAAGGTGACTCCTATGAGCTGTCACCAGCGACAAGAAGGAGGAGCGTCTACTTTAGGTCATTGCACAGGTTCCTTATGCAATTGCTATAAAAGGAACGGTTAAGGTAAAGAGAGAGCGGTGTGTTGCTGAGTGAGATAGAGTGAGAGAAAGCTTGTATTTGCATAAACTTATTTCAAGTTGTTCTCTAAGGTTAGAAACAGATAGAGTGAGCACCAAGTGCTAGTGAAGGGCATTGGTGCGGGTCACTTATTGTTTCTTGTTGTAATCTCTGTCTTGAATCTAGTGGATTCCGAGTATGATACTCGGCCCAGACGTAGCTACCCTTTGGGAGTGAACTGGGTTACCAAAGCTCTTGTGTGCTCTCTTTTATTTTCGTTACAAATACTCTCTGTCTCTCTTACATCTCTAAAAACACCAAACACTCTGTTCTCACATCCTCTGTTTTCTCTCTGCAACTTTCATTTGATTCCGTGTATCTCTGTTCTTGGTTTGTGAGGTGTTCTCTCAAGGAAAGTCGACGCCTTGGGGTTTAAGGATTCCTTACAGCTACGAACTTGAAACGAATAATCGAGATGGGACCATGCGTTTGAATAAGATGCTCGGATTACTATATTGCATACTACAAATATCCATATTAACGAAAATGCCACTCCCTTACAAAAAGATGGCTGCATTAAATCCACTTAATCCTTTTTTTTAATTTTCAACTCTTAGGGGGGTGTATTGAAGAAAGAATTTGGAGTGATTTGAGTTTTAATGAGTTTTGAGATGATTTTGGTGAATTTTGGTGAATTAGAGAATTTGATATCAAAACTCTCCCAAATCCCACCTAAAACCATGGGATTTGGATATTTGAATTTTTAACTAAGATGTTCTCTGAAATCCCACCAAAAATCACTCAAGTCATTTCAAATCCACAATTTAAAATGTTTTCAATAACAGTGGATTTGATTGTAGATTTTAAAATCACTAATCCAATAACACTTGATTTTAAAAAGATTTTTAAACTTCATGTTTGAATAACATAGAATTTATCTTTTTAATACAAATCATTTCAAATCCTTGATTGAATACACTCCTCTTAATTCTCAAATCTTATTAATATTGGCGGCCTACGTGACATTTTCAAGAAGAATGTCTCCACTTTCTTTTTTGTGTTAACATTTTTTTTTTCCTTCATACAGTACTCTGCATTTATTAATCTTCTGATAGTGGTTTTGTTTATATCTGTGCTCAATTATTATTTTGATATAATATGATAAAACTTAAAACTAAAATTTCTGAAATTAACCATCTTAATGTATAACCTCTGTGTGTTTAACTTTTAACTAAAACAAGTTAAACTTATTTTTAGTTAGTTCCTTCCTCAATATTAAAACTTGCTACTAGTATTAAAACTATCTAACAGTGTAGTTAAAATGTCAATTTGGTAATTCACCTGTCTCAGTTACAAAACTAATTATTGCCTTATCATTAATAACCACACCAAAATGCTATTTGTGGTAAAATACTAAATTCTTGATTTAACACAATGGGCAGAACCGTAATATCCACACCATTCAAGAAATTTGTCCGCCAAAAAGATAAATTAATATTTTGAAAAGAAAAAAGTCAAATACACCTCTCTCTCTCTCTACTCTTGAGTCGTGACTGTGGAAGAGAACAGAGAGCATAACTTTATATCAGCCGATTTTTTTCAAATTACTTACCTTTTGCTCTCACTAAAGCCATGCTCTTTTACCTTTATAGTGTTATCTAAAACTCTTTTGGTGTTTTGCAAAAGAAACCAGTTTTCAAAGTTCAAATTTTGTTTGTTTTTAAAAATGGAGAATTTAGTGAAGAGCTGCGCAGGGATCGAGAAGAAAAGAAGCAATTTGACTCATTCGGAGGAAGATATGGTAACAGAGTCAAAGGAGAGAAGCAGCACGAGCGTATCGAGCTACGAGGGTTCCTCCGGCACCACCGTCGCTTCGTCTTCTCCACCATCACAACCGTCGCAGATTCTGGGTTGGCCGATAAGAAAAGCTTCATTTCGTAAGAATTCCAAGGAGAATGTTAATTTGGATCATAAGAAATCTACCCTTCACGATGATTCTGGGTTTCAAGGAAAAGAGATGAATTTTGCAGGTTAGTGAGAAAAAAATCAAAAATTGAAACTTTTTTTCTCAGCCCTTTTCAAAATTAAGATCTCATGTGTTTATTCTGTTGTTGTTGTTGATTTGATTTTGAATTAGACGTGGATATGATGAAGGAGAGATTTGCAAAGTTGTTGCTTGGTGAAGATATGTCAGGTTCTGGTAAAGGTGTGTGTACAGCTTTAGCCATCTCCAACGCCATCACCAATCTCTGTGGTAAGTTAATAAAAAGACTATCTTGTGTTTGTTAAAATGCTTGAACCATAGTGTTGAATTTGATGTTTCTTCTTTTAGCTACGATTTTTGGGCAACTATGGAGATTAGAGCCACTTTCAAGTGAAAAGAAGGAGATGTGGAGAAGGGAAATGGAGTGGATTCTTAGTGTTAGTGATCACATCGTTGAGTTAACACCTTCAACGCAAACTTATCCAGACGGCAACAAGTTTGAGGTAAGTTCTTGCTTTTTTTTTTTTTTTAAAGATTGTTGCAACTGCAATTACTGGAGTTTGAATGAATCAATTTTGTGGATCTTCCTTCAGGTCATGACTTGTCGACCAAGATTTGATCTTTTCATCAATCTCCCGGCTCTTCGTAAACTAGACAATATGCTTCTCGTGAGTTTCACTCAACTTTCTTATACAATGATCCGCTCAGATGAAACCTGTTTTGATCTCAGATTTAATCTCTTTTGCAATAGGATATATTGGCGAGTTTCAAGAAAACCGAGTTCTGGTATGTTGATCAAGGTATTGTTGCTTCGGAAAACGATGGCTCAGCTTCTTTCCGCAGAAAGATTCAGCGTCAAGAGGAGAAGTGGTGGTTGCCTGTTCCCCGTTTAGCACCTAATGGTCTTACTGAAGAAGCAAGAACAGAATTGAATCACAAGAGGGAATGTGCGACGCAGATACTTAAAGCTGCAATGGCCATTAACAGCCTTGCTTTAACCGAAATGGATGTTCCTGAAACATACCTTGAAACTCTTCCAAAGGTTTACATCTTTAACTCAAAACATCCTTATAAAAACCAATCTGGGATAACTTTTTTTTCTGACATTTAAACTTTTGGCGCAGAATGGTAGGTCCTGCCTTGGGGATGTTATCTACAGGTACATAACATCTGATAAATTTTCTGCGGAGTGTCTTCTCGATTGCCTTGATCTGTCCTCTGAGCATATTGCTCTTGATATTGCAAACCGTGTGGAAGCTTCGATATATGTTTGGCGGAGAAGAGTTCAAACAAAACTTGGAGTCAACAACAATAATACTTCAAGCACTACTCCAAAGTTAACATGGGAAATGGTCAAAGAGCTAATGGCTGCTGGTGACAAAAGGGGATTGCTTGTGGAGAGATCCGAAACTCTCTTACGTTGCTTGAAGCAGCGGTTTCCATCTCTAACGCAGACTTCTCTAGACATTAGCAAGATTCAATGGAACAAGGTCCAAAACACAAATCCTCTAAATACATCACATTAGAAAATGGCTCTGCTTATTCTCTTATATATTCTGTCCTTGTGAAATTTTCAGGATATTGGGAAATCAATCCTCGAAAGCTACTCAAGGGCTTTGGAGAGCTTAGCATCAAACATCATTGCACGAATCGATGATTTACTCTACGTGGACGACTTAACAAAGCAATCAGATGATAACAATCTGTTGTCAAGTCCAGCGGTCAGCAGCATTATAGCTCACAAGAAAGTAGTACCACTCCCTTATATAATATCTGCATCAGGAACTCCATACAGAACAAGCTTCTCAACAACACCAGGCTTCTCTCCTTCAATGATTAGCCCCAAGAAAGGAGAGAGGAGGACACCTTACTCCAGCAGAGACACTAACAAAATCATTGAGAAAGGTCTTCCTTCTCGAGGATTTGGAGTGAGAAGAGTCTTGAACAATTATCTTGGCATGGAATCGAAACTGAAAATATGCGTGAATCCGTCAGATAATGCAGATACAGCTGTGATTTGCAAAGAAGGTGGAGAAGAGAAGAAAAGAAATTCAATATCAGTCCATCAAAAGGGTCCTCCAAAGTACACAGTCTCTTAAGAGCTAATAAAAGAAACACGGTGTATAATTTATGCAGACATGGATTGATTTGTTTGATATTACTTGTAGTTTTTGTCTTATTTCGAATGGTAAAGTGTCTACCTTTGCAAACCAAATCAGATCAAAATATACAAAAATAAGAGTAGTCGTAACTCGTAACAAACATTCTCATCAAATTTGTTCTGGTTGGTTTACCAGCTTTATTTATTTGGTAAGCAACACCAACAAAGTCATTAATAACAAGTAACAACAACAAAGTCTGTAGTATAATTAAAAGTTTAGAAATATTAGCTGTCTGTAGTATAATTAAAAGTTTAGAAATATTAGCTTTCTTTAAGTAGCCTATAACAACAAAGTCGTTGTAGTATAGTGGTAAGTATTCCCGCCTGTCACGCGGGTGACCCGGGTTCGATCTCCGGCAACGGCGATTATATTTTTTTTTCTTTTGTTTTTTTCTCCTCCTCTTTTATTTACCTTTCTCAACGAATCTCTCTGATTCGCCGGATCTGCCGGAGAGAAAATGACGACGAGTATTCACATCACAGCTCTCGACGGAATCGTCAACGTGAACTCTCTCTTCACACTCGCCGTATTTATCGGATTAGCTTGGAACCCTACCGATCCAGACAACAGCCTCGTAACCGACCCTAATTGCGTTCCCACAGCTCGTATGGCGGAGAATCTCGTCGCCTTCCATGTCTACTCTTTCGCTTCGTTCCTATTCTCAAGTCTCATCGCTCTAGGTCTCAAACAAGCCATGAGGCTCAACATAGCTTCTTCGTTTCACATCTCTACTCGAATCGATCCTGTGGTGTACTATGTGAACAAGACGGCTCTTAGATTTGGGATGGTTATCTCCGGTTTGGGATCGGTTTGTGGATGTGGGTTTCTCATGTTGGCTTTGATTAATGTTGTTCAGATCAAGCTTGGGACTTTGGGTTGTGGTGCCAGTGGTCATACTTATGCAGCTGTTGTGCCGCTTGTGATTCTGGTTCCTTCTGCACTTTTTATCTATGTTTCTCTTATGCTATATGCTTTTACTCGTTAGAGACATGGTTTTGATTCCATGATTGATGCAATTAGGATTATGTTTGTATGATGATGATATATGATGGGAAATGAGAATGATTCTATGCTTGATATGGTTCTTGTAAATCTTTGGTTTGGCTTCTGTTTTAAGTTTAATGTCTGAGTTTTGGATAGATGATATTCTAGATTTGATTGGAATTAGGCACTTGTGTGTGTTTATCAGTAATATTAACTGGTGGATTCATACTGATTCGATCCGAGGAAATGGGTATGAGATTATGCTGGATTCTGATGCTGGATTCTGATGCTTGTTTGGTTTGATCTCTTGGATTGTTGATAAAGCAGAGTTACTGTACAAAGAAGGATTTTTTTTACCCTACTTGGAATCATTCATCAAAAAGAGAGAACTTTTCTCTGTTCCTCACTTGGATTAATAGATTTTTCAGTTGTTTATAGTTTTGTGTCATCTGACTAAGCTGAATTTCCTCTGTAAACTATCCCGTTCCTACATATCTTCGGAACTGCTTCAGCTTTGAGGACTGAAGAAAAAGAACCTGATATATCTTAGATCTTATGTGGTGATCAGTGATCTTCAGCTTAAAACTTGTTCTCACTGAAGGCTCATAATACTACTGATGGTATCCAAGTGGTTGTGAGAAACAGATAAGCTCAGACCATACTTTTGAAGCTTTTTCTTTGGTTTTTGCTATTCCTTTGTCATGTAAAAACACCTCTTTGCTTTCTCATAGGTTCAAATGATTAGCTTAGAGACTAAAGGGCAGTGTAATCTTACTTTAGATTAAAATAACTATGCACTTAGAGGCTCCTAATGCGACTGATTAGGTGAAGTAATTACTATGTTCCTTTAGTGCTTCTTCCACTACTATGTGGAATTACATTGATCCTGCCAAGTCATCCGGCCATTTCATTTGCTATAAATCTTAGGTTCCATAAGTAGTATATGCATCAAGTCATCTCTCAAGAATGGAAACCCATGTTTTATCTCGCATTTTCCTCCTAGTTCTCTGCATCTACAGCCTTAAAACCATGGTTGATGGGGCTGGAGAATGTGGGCGAAATCCCCCAGATAGAGAAGCCATAAAGCTGGCTCCTTGTGCAATGGCTGCACAAGACACATCTGCTAGAGTGTCTCCAACTTGCTGTGCTCGAGTGAAACAGATGGGACAGAACCCGAAATGCCTTTGTGCAGTCATGCTTTCTTCCACAGCTAGGAGCTCTGGAGCAAAGCCAGAGATCTCAATGACCATTCCTAAACGCTGCAACATCGCTAATCGTCCCATTGGTTACAAGTGTGGAGGTAATAATATAAAAGCTTATTAACTTTTCTATTTCATTGCAGCTGCAGTTTTGCTTATCAAGTGTTTTTACTTGTTCTTTTACAGCTTATACTCTGCCTTGAAGCAGCAGACAGAGAGCAATGGACGTGTTCGTCAAAACCAGTCTTAATTATCATACACAGGTGTTTGCCTTGTAATTTCAATAAAAATTTGGATGATCAAAACGATGATTGATCATGAAATGCTATGACTTGTTACTGAGTATTTAACGACTTGTTGTATGCGATACATTAGTCATAGATGCTGTCCATTAACCGCCCTCTTTAACTACCAATCCCCAACATGTAGGATTACAAACGAAAAAGATGAAGAACATATAAACAAAACCAGAAGATCACACTGCAAAGTTACTGATATGAATGCAGTCGATACATATGGCCATTGCGGAAATCAAGTGGACCAGTAGTTAGGTTGATCTTAGTAATACAAAGAACCTGCATTAATGAAACAAGCCATTGATGAGTGATTTGAGAATAGAGATTACTAAGCAATTAAGGTATAATTAAGTACCTTTCCACCAATTTCCTCTGGAAGTAGAGGTGGTTGTGTCAGTGCGATCATCGGTTTCTTTGGGCTGATGAGATGGAGAAGTGGAGGAGCCATCGGTTCGTGGAGGTGAATAATGTTGCTGGCCTCCGTAGTAAATGGATGAGCTATAATAGGATGATTCTCTCTTTTCATGGCTGCTTCTCTCATCTTTAGAAACACAAAAAAAAAAAGAATAAGAAAACCATAAATCGTCAACATCTTCCTATACTTTAAACTTTTTCTCCAATTTTAACTTTCGAAGAAATGAGATTAATAAAAATGTCTGTAAATTACTATATAAGTTACTAATTAATTTATCCCTAAAATAGGTTTCTAACATTTTCAAAATTTGAAAACTATTTTAGAAATTCATCCCAAAAGAGAGAAAATTTGTATAATATTAATACCAGTGGCTAGAGTGATGCTGCCTTGAACTTCAGGAGCAGTGTGACTTCCCTTCTTCCTTGCTACCTACAATATAAAATTGCTTCTAATTAGGGGACCCTCAAATTAACTTCAAACTATATAAAAAAACTATAGACCGCATACACACACATATATATATATATACATAGATATAGTTATATACTGTATATATATGTATGTATATATATGCACCCATAGGAAGATTCATGCATGGTTCTGATAGTTTCTATGCATACTTGTCGTGTAGCTAGTCAGGAAAATGCTTTATGACTTTGTATTAATCCTTATCCATTCCCAAAAAAATCGACACAAAATTAATGTGTACCATAATTCAATTTTATTCTAGTTGTTCTATATGTAAATTAAAACCAACAAATTACAACTAAATTGAACGAAATATATATGTGATCAACCGCTATATATGTTCAAGATCATCGAGCTATACATGCATGTATATATGCATATAATAACACTCAACATATACATAAATATCTCTATTAAAAAAAAGCATATATACATATATGTAAAAAGTATACCGGGGGAGGGAAAATGGAGTCGAGTATAGTTGAACAAGAAGAAGCAGATGAAGCAGAGGCTGATCCTTTAGGACCAAACAGATTATCAAATGAAGAAGAAGACGAAGCAGCTTTGGTTTTCTTGATGTCCATTTTATGGGTATATGTAGTAACTAAACTTAAAGAATATAACTCACAATGTGAGTTTCTTGAGAGGGAGACTAGAGAGTGAGAAAGAGAGAGAGAAATGGATGTTGATTTCTGTTGAATGAGAGAAATGGATAATGATAGTTTTGGTTTTTGCCCTAACGCCCCAACGGTCTGTTATATAACCAACTACTTCTGATGAGAAGGAGATGGGTTCACGTGATCCCCACGTGGCTCTGCCGCCGTCTTCGACTCTCTTCCCACCGCCACGTGTGCTTTCTCATAGATGCTGTGGATAAACTTTGCTTTTACTACTACTTTTGTACTCTTTCTTCTCTTCTTCTATTTTGTCATTTGGATAAGTTCTTTTTTTTTTTTTCGATAAGTTCTTTTACCTTCTTCTTTTCTTCCTTTATACAATGGCGAAATTAAAATCTCGTTTTTATTATTGGTTTTTGGCATATTACACTGACTACAATCTCTATCTTCTTCGTTTTCTTGAAATTAAATAATTCGGTCATGTGACTCAATATCGACTTATTCTCGATAATGTCGCTTTTGATTTTATTCTAAGACTTGTAAGTTTGAATTATATTATTATGGAGTATGGACTAAAGGTTTATTCATTGACATCCTCAACTCTCGAATATTAAACATTCATTTTAAAATGTTTTTATATATCGGATTATGTAGGAGACTAATGGTTGGTCGACCCTTTTTTTTTTTTTGATGTTAAAAATAAGAAAATGTCTAGTCTATTGGTATTGGGTCCGATCGAGAATGTCATTTATATACGGATAATGTTTAGATAGTGAAACAAATTTTATGCCGTTGATGTGGTTTACAGGAATGTAAAATGCTATTACGATACATATGATTAAAACCTAAAAAAAATGGTCAATCTAAGATCAACACAGATAAAATCAAATTATATTCGATCGAGGTGAAAGATTGATTAATGAGTCCACCACCTTTGTGGGGATTAATTTTGCAGAAACTTCATGTATTATCTCATGGAATCTATTTCCCACATATTCGTCGTCGTCTCGTCGACATCTTATTTGTGATATAGCACATTTCATTTCTTTAGAATATATATATATATATATATATATATATATATATATATATATAACCCGATATTGATATTATGGTTTTTCTATTAACCAATAAAGGATGTATATTTCATCTTTTTACCGGAAATTCCGATCTCAGGCCAAGTATATATCTGCAGATTTTTTGACGGTGAAGTGAAGCTAAATCATATCAAAGAAGATCTGATAAATTGATTTATTCCAACAAAAAAAGAGAGGTAAGCAAGCTGAAATCAAACAGTAGCGAAGCATATTCCACGTCAATCTCTTCTTTAATTTTGATTGCGTTTTATCTTCTCCAAATCTAGTAAGATTCGCCGTATAAAAAAAACTTGGGGATATAAGAATCAAAATCACTTGACATTCTTGTTTCGGCGGATAAAATTTGATATTCCTCCACCCACACACATGCAGACACATATCTACCGACATAAAATGAACAGAAATTTTATCACAAAAAAAAAAGAAAGAAAAAGAAATGGCTTTCACATGTTAATAACAAACAGAAAAAGAGGACAGAAATATTGGTTAAGAGTATTCTTATCCACTTTGTTGGTCCAAAATGATTAACTTCTTATATGCTTTTATGTATGTTGTTTAGCTTCCATCTTATGTATTATGTATATAATTATAACTTATGAATAAAGTATTTAAACCTATTGAAGGTTTCTATGGTGTTGAATCCCATCATACTTTGTCGGTAGAGTCAGTACATATAGATTGGTAATGGGAGAATGATTCGTGTTAATGCTCCGGTTAATTAGTACCTATAAAACAAATTAAAGATTGGTATATATATGATTAATGGGATATATTCGGCTCCTATATATTGGGGTCAAATGACTTCAAGAATCAGAAAAGTGGTCAGCTAATTCGAAAGTAGGAGTTAGGAATAAAAAGGTAGATAACATGAAAGGACTAAATTGCAATATCTTCTAGAGTTTGAGTTATCAATCGAATGATTCGAATCTCTGTGAATTTAACTTTTTTTTTTTTTTCTTTTTTTTTTGGTAAAAGGTTAAATTTTATATCAATTTTCTGTTTTTTTGCTATACAATGCTGAAACAACTAAATAAAAAGAAACTAGAAAGGGAAAATGATACAACCAAAATAAGAAGCAAGAAGAGACGAGGAGCTTGAGGGAGAGCCTGGTAGCGATAGGAGGCGATCCCGCAAAGTCCGGTCAAGAGAAGCTTGTAGAGCAGCAGACGTGGTGGAGACGTTGGTGAAGATTCTGGCATTGCGCTCCCGCCAAATGAGGTAGCAAGCAGCCTGGAGAATCAATAAAACTGTTAGGGTTAACTTTTTATAGTGACAGGCCCCACCGCAAAGCGGCCCCATATCCAGAAAAAATCTCATCTCCGGCCTGGACCTACGAGTTAGTGTACACCGCTTGCTCCTACTCGTATGAAGGAATTTGGAGAGGCTCAGTACCACCGTGGTGACAGAGTAACTTGAACTCAAGACCTCTTACACTCATCTATGAAAAAGAATACCACTAGATCATGGACCCCTTCTATGAGAAAGAATACCACTAGATCATCTGTGAATTTAACTTGTGCATCAATTATAAATATTAACTCTTCCAATCCTAAAACTCTCTCTATAGCGTAGTGATTGCACTATTCAACACTAATGTGTTTTTGAAATCTCTTAAATAATTACTTTTGTTCTGTTTTTTCTTTCTCAAGGAAAAGAAAGAAGTCAACACTATAGTCGAATAAGTTTGCACAAAATACGCTGAGGAGCTAATTCTAGTAAATTAATAAATTTTTGTTTTATCCTAATCATACTTTCAACATTATCGTACATAATACATAAGGAAACAATTTTTTTTTAAATGCTGAAAAACTAATTATACATTTTAGTAGATTAGTAATATTTTGTATTTTAATTCATATTTTAACATTTCCATAGTAAATATAGCAAAACTAATATTTCTTCCGTTGACATTTTGAAGTTTTGCACACAGTTTAAGAAATATTCACCTTAATAAAGCTCAACCAATAAAAAAAAATTTAATAATATAAATAATCATAAAATATTAAATTAATCTATAATTTGCCTAGAAACTTGAAAACATCTCATACTGTGAAACAAATAAATTTCTCTAAAACGTCTCATATTTTGAAACAGAGAAAGTATTTGTTTTCTTTTTTTTTTTTTCTTCTAGAAAGTATTTGTTTTCAAAAATATTAATATATACATTCACTGCTAATTTCTTTTTCTTCAAAGGAGGAAAGGGGGACAAGAGGTCGAGAAACTAATTTAATTTTTTAAAAAATACAATTTTCTTTTATCTAATTTCGAATCTCATAGGGTTCAAAATTTTGTTTCTGCTGTTCTCTCGAGGAAAGGTAGAGTTCCCGCATTGTCCGGATTCTCAGAGATTCATTCATTAATCTGAGTTTTCTCGGGAAAATTTACTGACTCTGAGTCTAACCCGAATCCAGCGATGATGTCGAACTTGGTGGAGCCTTCGTGGCGCCTCCTGGCAGCGAGCGGCGGAGATACGGTTAAGCTTTTCGACGTTTCTGCCGATTCCGGCGATCCCTGCGTTTTGAGCTATACTCCGACACCTGGCTGTGCTGTCAACTCCGTCAAGTGGAATCATACGAGTATGTAATCTCCGATTAGTCGCATTTCCTGGTTTGCTTGGTTGGTGAGAGATTAGGAAAGTAACTCAAGTAGTGATTCGCCATTTCTACTTTCGATCCTAGCTTTATGTAATGTTTTAGCTGAGTTTTGGTAGGGATTTTCTGTGATCTGCTCTTTAAAATTGATTTTCTGTGTTGTATTGGTGTCAACTTTAAGAATCCTATTAGGGAATGTAATTAGTCAATTTCTGCTGGAATCAAACAAATTTCTTGGTAGATCGTTGTGATTCTCTTTCTTTTCCATTTGTTGAAGTTATGTTATTTGGGATGCAGATTTAGTGGTGGCGAGTACGGGAGAAGATAAGAAGATATCCCTGTGGCGGAAAAATGGGCAGAGTTTAGGAACAGTTCCAGTTACTGGCAAGGACGGTGGTGATAGTGCCGAGGTTAATTCCTTTGTGGATGAGTTTTTTTCTCTCCAGTGATTCTGATTTCCATGTCTTGCATCTCTTGAATGATACTGTTTATTTATATGTTTGTGTCATAATGAATTCAGGAATGTTTATCGGCTATTAGCTTCAGCAAAAAAGGATCCAGGTACATTTGTTCTGGAGGAACTGGTCAAATTGTTAAGATATGGGATCTGCAAAGAAAGCTTTGTATTAAGAAGTTGAAGGGTCATACAAGTACAATAACGGGTGTCATGTACAACTGCAAAGATGAGCATTTGGCTTCTGTTAGTGTTGGTGGGGATCTAATAGTCCACAACCTTGCATCTGGAGCAAGGGCTACAGAACTCAAAGATCCAAATGGGCAGGTTGTTCAGTTTGTACATGTATGTTTCCATCCATAGCTCAGAGCATTGTTCGTCAAACTAATTGACTTTTTAATCGATTCAAGACACCAGGTATTAAGGTTGCTTGATTATTCAAGGTCCAGTCGACACCTCCTACTCACTGCAGGTGATGATGGCACTGTGCATCTGTGGGACACAACTGGTCGTAGCCCCAAGGTTTGCTCTTTTACTTATTGCAATTCATTTGGAAAAGACTGTATTTTCCATTACATTGGTTCTCCTGTTAATTTTGAAAAACTTTTAGGAAGGGGGGGGGAAGCCAATAAACTTTTCTCTGCATTCGCAGATATCACACATATATATATAAACAGAAGTCAGACGAGTACTTATATTTTTTCTCAAGACGTGTTAATGTTTCCCATTTAATTTCTGGTATCTGTGATGATTTGCTTTCATTTCCGCAGATGTCCTGGTTGAAGCAGCATTCGGCACCAACTGCTGGCGTTTGCTTCTCTCCATCAAACGAAAAGGTCGCTGAATCCTTATTATTCTTGCTACACATACGCAAATAAGTCAGAAAAATGTGATTGCAATTGGTTATCTGTAAACATGTGCATGTGCACCCTCAATTTTGATAAGCCTGTCTGATGGTCTTTGACATAGAGTTTATAAACATAGTATCTACGTAATCTACAATCTAGATTATCTACTGTAACAGATAATTGCTAGTGTGGGGATGGACAAAAAGCTTTACACTTATGATTCTGGATCCAGAAGATCTTCGTCCTGCATTGCCTATGAGGCACCTTTCTCCTCTTTGGCGTTTGGGGATAATGGTTATATTCTGGCAGCTGGAACCAGCAATGGTAGAGTAGTGTTTTACGACGTCCGTGGAAAACCGCAGCCTGTTACTGTCTTGCACGCTTTCAGTAATTCAGAGGTCAATAAATTTTTAACCCACTGCAATCTATTTAGCATGCCCTATATAATGACTCTGGTTCCATGGATTGTCATATTTTGCACTCATCAATATTAGTTGTTTATTTGTTGTCCCTATCCTGGTTTGTCAGCCACTTCATCAATTTAATAACTCCAACAGTAGAAGCGAATGTTTTTTTTCATTTGGTGTATATTGTTGTGGTCAACTGACGCATGCTATATAAGATTTCTTACTTTGGATTGCAAAGTTAACAGCATTTGTTTGTATTGATCAGGATGTAACAAGTCTTTCATGGCAAACATCAAAACCAGTTATTGTGAATGAGAAAAATTACACTTCTGAGATGGCTCTTCTTGGCAGTACTGTGGAAGATTCAGTTGTCATTCCGGATCCACTTCCCTCAACGACACCCTCAGCTTCACAGTCCGCTTTGGCACCAGGTTCCCGTGGAGTTTCCGCGAGTACTGTAAATGCATCATCAGTTGAACAAACACCAAATAGAACTCATCTATGGCCTGGTGGGCCACTGGGCAGACTGCATGCACTTCGTGCAAGTGACAGTTTTAATGATGATATGGGTGTTTTTTCACCTATTATTGACGTATCATCTGTTGAGAAGTGGGCTGATAGTGAAGGATTCAATAATAAGGAACATTTCGTTGTTGACAAAAAGCCGTCCTCTTTGCTATTTCCTTCATCCAGCAAGGGATATTCGTTCGGAGACGATGGAAACAAGGAACATCCGATATTCGACTGGAAACCAAGTTCTACTTCGAAACAGGTTCGCCTTTCTTCATCATGCAAGTGCTATTACTATTTTTATAAATCAATTTCATAACTTCATTATGTCTCCAAAGTTTTGGTTAGTCTGTTTATTTGTGGTTGTACAGAATACACACTGGCTGGACTTAATTTAACTTGCTCTCTATAATTCTCTTTCATATGTTTCATCGGTTTCAAACGTTTTTCCATCGTTCACACAGGATGACACGAGGGTTGCTTTTTCGTCTTTTGGATCTACTACGCCAACAGCATCATCCAAAAGTGAAGACACTGCCTTGACACCTCCAGAAGCATGGGGTGGCGATAAATTTTCTGAGAAGTTTAACCAGTTGGCCAATGAGAAATTTTCTGATAAATTTAGCCACCTGCATGCACCTTCACGTCTCGCGGTTTCAAGCACATGTGCTAGTACATCTGGATCAATGTTCTCTAGCTCTCGAGATTTCCCCTTGTCGCTTGGTCAGACAAACCTCGCAAACGCTAGCTCAGAATTCCCACGGATCAGAGACTTCTCTTCAACCTTTGAGACATCCTCAACACAGACAGACAACAACTTGCCTTCAAGCCCATTGTTTACAAAAGGCATCACAGCTCCGGGTAACATTGATTCATTGAGGCTATCACCAAATTTTACTCGTAGGTTCTCAACATATGCTGAGAGAATCAGCACCACTTCTTCCTTTAGTGACGGGGCCTCTCTCACTCTGGGTGGTTCACCCAAGATAAAGAAAACAGGCGCAGAAACGAGAGAGGAAGTTTTAAATCATCTGTTGCCGAGACCAGAGATGGTGGCTGCAACAGAAGCAGGAGCTATGCCGCTTATGAATGTATGTACAAGTTTCACAAAAACCTGAGACTTTATCTCTTTTGGATATCTGTAACTTCACTAACTTAGTGAAAATCTGTAGCAGGGAGGGTTGAAGCAACCTCAAACGGATCAACAGCAGATGATGGGTAGTAGCAATTTCACGCTTCAGCTATTTCAAAGAACGCTCGAAGGAACTTTGGATTCTTTCCAAAACTCAATTCATGATGACGTGAGGAACCTTCACATTGAGATCCTCAGACAGTTCCACATGCACGAGGTAGTGCTTGCTCTTGCTTGAATCTCATCAATGTCTTCTTCAAATGACTTGAAACTTTGTTTTTTTTTTTCAAACAGATGGAGATGTCGAAGGTGTTAAGCTCGATTCTGGAGAACCAAGCGGAGCAAATGAAGGAGTTAAAATTGTTGCGAAAAGAGAATCAAGAGCTCAAAGAAAGGCTATAGAGGAGACTGTTGTGAGTTTTTGTGTGTTCAAATGTTGCGTGGATTTCTATCATTCTCTTTGGTACTCTTCATGTGTTCCTCTCCGTTTTGCGATCGAATCCATTTTGATTTCATATTATGATTGATTCGTTTGGGTTTTGGTAGAGATCTTGTTTACATTGTAACATTGCATTTCCATTAATCTGGAGGAAGCAAACCATTAATCATGTCACAACGTTTGCGAACATGTTTCCTTTTTTTTGTTTGTTAACTATTGCTCTTGAATTTGAAAAAGACCAGCACAACTTTGTTAGTACTTAACCTGGAAACTTAAATCCAAATAATACAAAATAATAAGAAAGGCCATCCTCTTCCACAGTAGATACGGTGATTGGTGGATGACGACTCTCGTGTATTGAAATTTGAAAAGTGAAGTGTGTTTGTTTCTCTTCATTTTCTGATTAATCTCAGTACATCGCCCACAAGATGTAACGAACCAGTTACAAGGACCTGCACACATACACACACACACACACACAGCCATCTTACATTGCTCACTATTCATTATCCGAAAAACTGAAAACCGAATTGAACAGTCGTCAAGAAAAAAGAGGTTTGTGTTATACCTGGAAACGTGTGGCTGAGCTACTCTCATGTACAGTCTCCCTTAGCCATTTTATTGCCATGGGTAGTGAAGTAAACACCTCACTGTTTCCATTACTTTCACCATCATTTTTTCCGTCTGCGTGACCAAAAAAGAAGACTTAAGTTGAGATATTGATATCGACGACGTGTGTTTATTTTGTTCCATGATCAGAAAGATTTAAGACTAATGAATTTTTGTTACTACCTCTTTCACTCTGGACAAGGCTCTCCCACACTTTCTGGAGTGTGAACTGCCATGACAAGTCAACCTGTGGATCATTCTCTGGCAAATCAGCTGCTGTACCAACCTTGTGATACACCGACATGTTTGGAACAAACAATGCCTTCTTGAAATGGACACCTACATCAACCATTATTCAGCTTTCTGTAACTATTAACTCAGGCCAAGTTTTCTGTTTCTACATTTCGTCTTTTGAAGACACAAGGGCTCACGAACTTACCATACTTTGCGCACGTATTCCTTAGATGTGGAAGCAGCAGATTGGGGTCCCGAACTGACATACAATTGAACAACAATATCTGCAAAGCAGCCAGATGCTCTCGTTCAGACATTTAAAAAGCTTGGAGAATCTAGAGAAAGACAGGTATAGAGATAAGAAGATACTCTTAACCCAATCCTTTTCTTATGAATTCATTCAGTCTCTCATATGATTTATAAATCCAAGACAGGCCAAGAAACCCGGACCTTACCTGTTGACAGGTTTCATTTGACCATTTATCATGAGAGGATCCTGCGGAGCCATTAACCAAATGTCCTGAACTCCCTGACTGGTTGTCTCCCTTAACGGCAACCGAAAACCATTTGGCGCATGCTTCCATGCTTTCTGGACTGTGAGCTCCATCCAGATAAAATACTAGATCTCCCGAAGTCCGAGATTCAGTATATTGATCAGGGACGACCTGTGCTCGTCCTTGCAAACTCGCTGTAGCTAAGCCTTTAATGAATTGCTCAGGCAAAATACTCTAATTCGAAGAAGAATGTGGAAAAAATGATGAAATTCGCAAATGAGAGAAGGGCCAAGATACAAATCTGAGTAAAAATAAAGACGGAAAGAGCAGTTTACCATCTGAGTCCGACTCGGAACTTCAAGTTTACCAATTTTCTGAAGCCAGGTAGAGGCAAGCGAAACTGCTAGACCAGCATTGAGATATTGGTGCTCCCCATCAAGCCCAAGTTTCTGACCACTCAACAGCCTTGTGGTTAGTGGTTGCACCACTTCGAGATTCACCTGTCAATATGATGTTAAAGCTTCTCAAAAACACCTACCATTACTTTCATAATCTGTCAATAGAATGTTAAATCATCTCTGCAAAAGCACCCACAGATATATATAAAAAAAGCTAGAATGGGACTATAACTAATGCACCTATTTGTGGACACATTGGTTTCTCAATTTTCACCTTAAAAGAATGGTACATCTAAAATACTACAATCAACCAAGCAGCACATAAACAGAAACTGTATATATGTGCATACATTGTCTAACAAATTGTGACCATAGTGTTCACTAATTAAAATTGAGCGTACTTCTGATTCGGAAGCTTTCTCTTCAAGGACACGCATGGCTTCATCAGGTTGAGGCACTGTGAAAGCTGGAACTCCAAGCTGAAATACGAACAGGGAAGATAAGGCAACTATGGAGAATATTAAGGAAAAGTCAGTTCTAGTTTTAGATAAATAAGAGTTATATAGTCACCTTGAAAATTCCAGCCTTCTCACCAGCAATTTTTCCAAGAGTATCACCTGTGATACATCCCACAGAGAAGAAAGAAATCATGATATACTATCAGAGCAAAGGAAATGTAAGTCAAAATATGTCTGCTCATTTAACGCAAGCATAGACCTCATGATTTAAAGTTTCAATATGATAAAAGTTTTCATAGCAGTATAGGTATGGCATGCATGAGAAGATTCCAGTTACAAACCTAGAATTTCCATGTGGTCATATCCGAGTGAAGAAATACCACAGACCATAGGTTTCTGAACCTGTAACAACAAGTCAGCAGTGAATCTCCATGGAAACTTAATTAGGCACAAGAAAAGCTACTTATACTCTTCCTGATAGGTTTTTTTTTTTTTTTTGATAAAAACCCTTCCTGATAGTTATTCTTATATTAGTAGTTGGAGTCTTTTGAGGATGTAACCGGATTTCAGTGTTTGATTAACTAATGATTTGGGTTCTGATCTAGCGTTTTCATAAAACTATTACATGAACAAAGAAAAAAATGGAGACGATTAGATTTCAGGTTTCCTCTTTCTTCATAAACCCCAACCTTGGAGTTTGGTAGATATGTTCTATTTGGAGACACAAGCATTTTAGCTGAGAAAAAAGGTCAAACTTACCGCATTGGTGGCATCAAACTTCCCACCTAATCCTACCTCCAATATAGCAGCATCTACCTGCATAAAAAAGCAAAGAGCAGCACCCCTTATATCAATAAAGAGAACAAGACGTTTCTTTATCTATCATGTCACTGAGTAAGAAAAATAGTCAATCAAGGTAAAGACTGGTATCAAACCTCTTCGGCAGCAAATATTTTAAAAGCTAGCAATGCAAGGAAGCGGAAATATGTAGGCATTGGTATCTCCTCGTTTGTTCTCTCCTGCAAATCAAATAGTCAGCAAAATTTGTATTTTGAGTAAAAAACTAAAGCTCCCATCTCAATTTGCAACGATGCACACCATTATAAGTTCTTATGAGTTCATATCATGAGATTCTCAGACCACAACACAAAAGGTGATTTCAACCAGATACAGGGCGGGACACTATACATGTGCTCTACAGCATCACTACCGCCTCGAGGAAAATAGTTCCAATAAAGATTTATGTTGATGGCTTACTAAGTCAGGTGGAAGACTTAGTTCAGCAGTATATCAATTATACAATTTCTCTATATACCACAACTTCAGCACAGAACAACTCGGTTTTCAGTTAACATGGAAAGACAAAAAAATGTGTTCATGACAAAAGGGTGCTCTACTTCTTTATCACATTCTATATGGCTTTCATCACTAAGACTCGAACTACTAGTCAATCGAGAAACCCAAGACTACAGATATAGAGTTCAAAACAAATGATTCAAATAACTAATCTTCTTTTTTAAAGAACATACCTTGAGCCTGTTATAGCACCACCAGAAATAGCCCAAGAATTTCTCCTCACTTATGTCCACACTGCAGCAATACATAGAACATATCAGATTAAGCGAATATAAGAAATTCTCAGTAAAGAAGAGTGCAAAATAGGATTATGCTAGCGAAGTATTGTTGGTTCCTGATTCTATGAGGGCCGATAAATCTATACATATTTCCTCAGAATTTTCAGCAAACTTAGAAAAACTTACCCATCCAAACGAAATCTTTCCCGGACATCAATGAGGTGAGGTGAAGTGAAGAGTCCAGTTCGAAAGCCATAGTTTCGAATAATAGACTCTGTAAAGGTACATGTGGATCCCTTGAGGCCACATAAGAAACAAAAAAGAAAAATGTTAGGTGCTGGATCAGATAGTAATCAGCCATGCAAACAATGAATCACTTTCATTAATCAAATTCACTGCTAGTTTCATAACATTTTCCTTTGTGATATCACGATCTAGAAAGAAGAAGTGATAAGAGACATCAACTATGAACCAAGATTTATAAAGTGACAACTTTGCAAAACTGAGACTCCATCAAATGAAACCATATGCATCTCCTGGCATGTAAGGATCTCAAACCAATGTCCTTCTCGCACATATGTACAAGCAGAAACGTATCTCTCAAATCCCCACAGAGCAAAAACCTTAGGCTTCTGGCAAAGCAGTGATAAGGACGTAACGGTCACAATAAGATAGTGGAGTAACTAAACTAACAAAACCAACTCCTGATACTAATAGAAGATGATTTAGTATCATTTATTGCGCTTTACCAGGAAAAACTAAAGTTGTTGTAGTACCTTGCCTTTGGTTCCAGCGACATGAATAACTTTCATCTTTAAAATGTCTTCTTCCAGGTCAAGCAGCTACAAATTGAAAACAAGAAGGTGCCATAAATAATCAAAACAGAGGTGCAATAGATAATCGAAACTCTAAGAGAATCAAATGGCAAGAGAAACCTTGAGATAATCAAAAACTAACTCGAACCGATCCCCTTTGTTGCTCTTATCAGCACGACTTCGTTTCGTGATCAGAGACGACAACGCAGCCAAAGCTTCCTCATACGAATCACCACCTGTAACCAAAAAACAAACAAGTGAACTCGATTCGATTACTGTTAGCATCAAGTGAGGACGAGCTAGAGAAGAATCAGAGAATCAACAACAAACCTTGAGCTGCCATGTCGATCTGCTTTCTTAACGAACGAATCTGAAACGCGAACAAGTGAGAATTAGAATACCAAAGATGCCAAAAAAAACTCCGAGATCCTCGGAATGTGAGAGAGAGAAAAGGAAACCTGAAAAGAGAGAGATGTTAGGTGAGGCTGCTGGTGTTGGTAGTGATGGTGGAGCCCAAGTGTGAGAGGAATCGAGAGGTGGCAGAAAAACGCAGAGCTCAAACGGCACGATGTGGTTCGAGGTACTATCGAAACTGCATACATTCTCTGGTCTCTAACATTGCTACACTTCTTTTGCTTTTTGTTTAGTCTTTTTCGGCAATTCGTTGACGAAAGCAGAGCATCACAATTTTGCAATCTTTCTTTTATTAACGACAAACACTAACACAATAACAAGCAGTCTGGGTGGTGTAGTCGGTTATCACGCTAGTCTCACACACTAGAGGTCCCCGGTTCGAACCCGGGCTCAGACATTTTTTTTATTTTTTATTTGGATTCGAACGTGGGGACTCCCTCGTACACGTGTGTACTAATCTCCATCACTTAAGCAAAATCAAAACTTGAGCGGAGAACCAAACAATCACAAATCGTAATCAAACTCATCGGAGCTTCTTGAATTCGTCGTCTTTGAAGAGGAAGAGAGGAGGTGAGGGAGATATGGATTGGGACAACGTATCTGCTGAGGATGTAATTGAGGCGTTGAGAGAAGTCGAATGGTCGACGCCTCCTCGTTCGTTTGGCGAGTTCTTCTCTAGATTCGCATTCCCTCGCTCTTTCTCTAAATGGAAGAGCCGCCTCAAATGCAATCTCTACTAGTATTACCTCTCTCTCTCTCTATCTCAATTTTTGTCTGCTTCGATAGGATTTATGATTTTGCTCTTATTTTGGTTTTCGCTTGTTTTATGTTGCAGCTATAGGACGAATTACTTTATCTTGGTGATTTTCGTTCTGGGTAAGTGATTAGTTTACAGAATTTTATTGCTTTTTGCTGTATTTTTGGGATTTTGGGTTTTGATTAATCCATGTTTTTGTTGAATCAGGTATTGCGCTTGTTACGAGACCTCTGGCTATTGTTGGTACTGCTCTAACAGCCTTAAGCATAGCTTTCCTTAACGACAGGTATCATCTCCTGTGACTTGTTTTGGTTTCTACTTTTATATCTATGCTGTGCAATGCGTTTAAGGCTTCATTGTAATGTGAAGTTGGTGTAGTTTCGCATGCATTGGAAGATATTAGACTCCTTTGTTGTATACAGTGGTTGCTCTTCAACTGGATTTTAGTATTGGATTCGATAGGTTATATGATCTATGGTTTTTGAAATTTGAGTGTTTCATGGTGGCTTGTTCCATGTGTATTCACATGAACTTCATGGAGGCTTGTTCCATTTGTATTCACATGCATTAGAACTGGATATCAGTATTGGAATTACTAGGTTGTATGATTTTGGTTCTTCAAGTCCCGAGTTTTTCAAGGTGGTTGTTCAATCCCCACTGTTGCGATTTCATGTTCATGTTAGAATCTTACATCGATGTTAGTTGCTATTTGGTGAGATTGGATCAGCAAGTATTGTAGTATGTGGTTGTGTGTGTGTGCTCCCTAATCTATTAGTTGTTCGAACTTAACGGGGTTAAATGTTGTCTTTTGCAGTTTTGCAGCTAGTTTTAATGAGAAGTTTATAAGGACGATTAGGCATTTCTCCCCACACTTGGCTGCAAAAATGAGACCTCCCCACATGTGAGTTCCTTTTTAATTTAATTTCATGGAAGATATAAATAGGGTTCGTATTTACATTTATATAATATGTGATCACTTGCAGGCCTGTCATCCGTGGAAGATCGGCAGCAAGAAAGACAGTATACATATGTGGGAAACCACGATGGGTATTCGTTGTTACATTCCTTACAGGTACTTGAATACTCATAATCCCTCGTTATGTAGTTAATGTAACATTGGTGTCAAAACTGATCAATGTGTTAATTTTCTCATGTATATAGCCAGTATTGTCATGTGGTTTTCTTCCTGCGGTTTGTTGTGGGTCCTCTATGCACTCCTTACTTCCCTTGCTGGTAAGTTATTTCACCTGTTTTATCATAGATGTCCTTTGATGGAGTTTATGTTTTGACCCCCTAGGTTTTCTCTCCACAGTGACCATTGTTCATGCAAGCATGAGAACCCCAAATCTCAAGGCACGCTTGAACACATTCCGTGAAGAATTTCGGGCGGTCTGGCGTAATTATAGTGAACTTTAAGTCACAGGTCGCTACACAATCTAGAAGCAAACAAAACAGCCATGTTGTCAATTGTCAAGTTAGGGGATGCTTTCCATCAACCATGTTCACAGTTTATTCTTATCTTCTAGTAATATTCTAGCAAGATAGGCCATTAGTGAACATCCCTTGTTTTGTGCGATGATGGCTGATGCACTCCGGTTACATGGTTAAGATGGTTATTGGCAGTTCGATTGCAGACAGAATAGATTCACTTGAAATAGTGGACATACTTGACCAAGTTACTTCTAATTGGTGTAGTGATTTGACTTCACAATACTCTTTTTTATATATATATAAATAGATCCAAATAGAACTGAGTGGTGTTTCAAGTACAAAATTTGGAAGACAAAGAGTATCGGAATACAAAAGTGTTTTCTTTTTCTCAAGGTTTGACAAAGTTCTTGAGAGATTTCAACCACAGTAAGTGCTCTCTACTATCCTTGTTGATCATGTACTCGTGCAAGAAGTTGATCATGCTCGGCTTTATCCCTCTTATCTCAATGTACCTATGGAATGCCTTCCTTAGCTTTTCATCCAAAACCCTGTAGAAAGAAACAATCAAGGATCACGACTTTGGTTCTTGTGACATCAGAAGCTTCAAACTTTTTCGCCTATTACCTGAAGGAAGGGCCTTCATAAGCAAGCTCATCTTTAGATGGATCATCAGGAAATGTAACCCACATGTCCTTGATTACAATCTTGTCTGGAAAAGCAGTACATCTAAATTCCAAACTGGATCCTGTCTTCTTGGAAAGAGTTACTAAGAGAGGCACATTCGATTGCTTAGGCTTCTCTGGCTTATCATCATCTTCAACTTCTTCATTCTCTGCCTCTTCCTCATCATCTTCATCATCTTCTTTGTCACCTGTCACAAGATTAGTCATGTGTACTTCAACTTTAACAGTCTCTCCTTCGTATTCTCTAGTCAATGTCACGATCTTTCCTCCAGGTTTGTCTTCCATTTTGAAGGGAAAACCACTTGGAGTTTCTTCAACCTTTATTCACACAAAAAAAAAAAGGAAACAGAAAGATTACACACCATTGACATTGAAACAGAGCTTCACTAAACCCATAAGATCTTAACAGGAAACAAAAAATGGTAGAAATAAAAACATGAGAAATGTAAAAAAAGGGGAAGCTAAGAGTTTACTCGATCGTAATCATCAGCTTTCTCGGCGTATCCAATCTCCGTTTCGATAATTCGAAGAAGCGGATCGGTTGGAGAAGCTCTCTTTTTGGTCGATGTGGTAAATGGAACATTCCGGTCAACCGACGGCGTCAGATGTTGCCTCCGGCCGTAAGCGGACTGGTCCAACAATGAGTAAACGAAAAAACGGTTCTTGCAATAATTTCCGACAAACCGAGAAGCTGCGCGACGTACAAGAGTCGCCATTTTTTTGTGTTGGAAGCTCAAATTGGAAGAGTGAGGGTTTTAATTTTCCTTTAGGGTTTAATATTATACTCTCTCCGTATTTTAATAAGTGTCGTTTTAGGATTCTCTTTTTATAAAAACTAGATGTCGTTTTCAAATTTCTACGCAAAATTTTTTACTTTTTAATGTTTTATCATAAAACATTAAAAAGTAAAAAATTTTGTATAAAAATTTGAAAACGACATCCAATTCAAAAAAATAAAAATTCAGAAAAATTCAGGACCGTGCTAAAAATACGGGCCAAGATGGGCTGAGTGGCCCATTACGACATTAAGAGACCGTTTCCATAATCGGAAACCCTAGTTTGCTTCTTCTTCAGTTGTTGCCTTTTAAACGAAAGAAACGAACACATTAAGCGGCATATCTAAATCTGAGAGATAAAAAAATGGCGATTGATTCGATGCAAAAAACAAACAAGCTTCGATGGGGAGAAATTGACGAAGAAGAAGACAACTTTGATTTCCTTCTTCCGCCTAAGCAAATGATTGGTCCGGACCAGAACGGTGTAAAGAAAGTGATTGAGTACAAGTTCAACGACGAGGGCAAAAAGGTCAAAATCACTACCACGACCCGCGTTCAGAAGCGAGCTCTGACCAAACAAGCCGTGGAGCGACGGAGCTGGAATAAGTTCGGAGACTCAGCCAATGAGGAAGCCGGTAGCTACCTCACAATGCGTTCAACAGAGGATATCATCTTGGAACGAATTAGAGCTCCTGGTATATCTTCATCTTTGCATTTTGGTTTGTTAGGATTCGTTGTTCTTATGCTCTGTTTTGATTTTGGTGGCTAATTAGCCAGTCACATGTTACTGTTTGTGTGAATGGTCAGTAAGCACACCTATAGCAATGTCGTTGGTGATTCGTTTCAACACTAAAACAGGATTAAACCCAGTTTTGGTTATGGATCATCAACTATATCTTTGGTTTCAATTTTTTTGTAAATGTGTAGCATAACAAAAGTGCCCAATTAGCCGATCACATATTAGCCATATGGCTGCTACTTTCTGTGATTGGTCAGTATGTCACCAATAGCACTATCTTTGTTGGTAGCCTTTTCTGAATGTGAGCAAATTTTGTGTTCTTCTTTCTTGGCTGTTAACTGTACACATAAAGTTCTCATTTTTACATAAGTCTCTCTATGGGTGGACACGTTAGTCAGCCACATTATTCTATATGTGGGTGGCCGTAATGCCCACCCAGATGTTTTGTTGGTGGCTTCTTTCACGAAAGTAGATTTCTGCTTTCACTTCCTAGCTATCAACTACATTTTTGAGTTAAAAGTTTTTGATGGAGAAATATCTTGCTTTACCATCTTAAGTGTACTTTTATTTTGAGGTTTTGAGATCTTTATTCTTTCGGAAATCTCAGGTAGCAACGCGGAACAGTCCACGATATCAGGAGATAGCATGTCTCAGCTGGGAAAACCGGGTGCGGTCCTCATGGTCTGCAGGTTATGCCACAAGAAAGGTGACCACTGGACATCAAGATGCCCACAGAAGGATCTCTTATCCTTAATGGACGAGCCTTTAACAGCAGAAACTTCTACATCGAGCATAGCTGGAACTGGAACTGGCAAGGCTGCTTATGTCCCGCCAAGTATGAGAGATGGTGCAGACAGAAAAGCTGCTGGTTCAGACATGAGGAGTAGAAATGAGGGGAACTCTGTCCGTGTGACTAACTTGTCTGAAGATACCCGTGGACCGGATTTGATGGAGTTGTTTCGTCCGTTTGGTGCTGTAAACCGTTGTCATGTAGCCATACACCAGAAGGCGAGCATGAGCAGAGGATTTGGTTTTGTCAGTTTTGTCAGGAGGGAAGATGCACAGCGAGCAATCAACACATTGAATGGCTATGGCTATGATAACCTCATTCTTAGGGTTGAATGGGCCACTCCTAAACCCAATTAGATCTTTTCATTCTCTAATTATAATATTCTTTGTAAGATGTTAATGCATATGTATTATTGACTATAAATTCTCGAGATAAATTCATGATGTTGCTAACTTTCACTCGTATGCAAGTTCCTACTAAATGCATTTTTGTTGAATACGTGCAAAAGGTAATAAATCTCTCTTTAATACGGCAACTAGCATGTTAAAACTTGGGAAAGTTTTATAAGGTGAAGTCATTTCCATATTCCATTGACCATTTTACCAATAACCAAGTGAATATCATTAAATTCAAAGAGATGGGAAACAAGGATTCGAAAGGCTCTTCTTCTACAACCAATCCGAAAGGGGAGATTGCTGCTGCATCTCAGCCTCAACTGCAACCACAGTCACCGCTATTGATCCGAAAATCGCAACCACAGCAACCATTACCACCACCCTCATCTGAGATGCCTCTTCTCTATCCTTGTTACAAAAAAGAAGACTATGAGAAAATGAGCGAAGAGACAATCGATCTGCTCTTAGCGACTTACGGAATCATGACAGTCCCCGGCGATTTGGCTAACAAGAGAAACTTTGCTTTTGAAACCTTTCGTTGGGATCATAAGAACAATCACCCCAAAGCTTAACAACTACTTGTATAGAATAATGAAACTAACGTTTTATGATTGGACCTAAACACATTCATAATTCTTTCATCAATTCACAAGAAAATATAAATCAAAATGCTACTAGTTGTACAATATCGAATATTATAATCACTTTAGCATCTCTTGAACAAGTTTCAGGGGAAACAAAAAGAGAGTAGGAAATTGACACTTGTCTCAGTAACAGGATTCAAAATTACAAAGGAGGCAGAGCACAATGTTAGTTAGATAACCAGAAGCAATGGTTGCAGATAAAACAAATCCTAACAAAGAACATTCCTTGCTTTTTTGTAATAGATATAGATAATAAAGAGAGTAGTATCAGCATAACTTCTTCTACAAATGTGGAGTCTAAGCAAAAGTGTCAAAAAAGGAAACAACAGAAGAGTAAAAAGAAAAAGGAAACTTGAATCACAAACATAGGCGAAAAAAGGAAATTACACAGACTTGAAAAAAAAAAGGAAATTACAGAGAGACTTGAAAAAAAAGGAAATTACACAGAAGATGAGTCTATAAATATAGAGTCTCTTCTCTGTGTCTATTCGTTTTAGTATCAATCGTCACAAACCAGAGAAAGACAAGAGTTATAGAGTGAAAAGATTGCAATTACATGCTCTGTTTTTTTTAGCATTCTCTTCTTCGGTTCATGTTTCCTTTGCTTCTTCTATTTCATATTCGACTCCAACGTTTGATTTTTTTGTTTCTCTTCGCCAATAAGAAACGAGCGTGATGGAAGATGAGCTCGTCGTTTACAATCACTGAAGCGAGATCATAGATGTTTGTGTTTGTGCGATCTCTCTTCTCCGCGGCCGGTTCTTCGTGACTCGTGACGGCTGGTCATGTGGTTTCTAAGAAACTCTACGACGAATACTGAGGAGGTGGGTGCTACATCCTCGTCGGAGATGACCGGAGAGAGGCAAGATACGTATGCCGGTGACTGTGATGAAAATTAGAGATCTACATATGTGCAAAGCCCAAAACAACATTCCAGCCCATAAAACAAGGTCAATTTCAGCCCATCTCTCTTCTTTTTTTCTTTTAGTTTAGAAAATTAATAAATTTAATACTTTTATACGCTTAAAATTCTAATTGCAAGTTTATAGATTTTAGTAAAATAATTCTAACGGATTTTAAAAGTTTTTTTACAATTTTCCATTTCTTTTCTTTCTTTTTATTTTTAAGTGTAAAACTAGTATTTTAGCTTTTAAATTGTTATAATTCTAAATTATAGAAATTTGGATGATAAATTTACAAGACGATGTGAAACTAACCGGATTTTGGATCCCGTCATTGATCGTTAGCGATTCCACAAATTCAACTTGTTTTTGCATCGTTATGTAGATTTAGTATACAAGTTTCTAATTTTTTAGAAATATTTTAATTTTTTCCATGGATTTTAAAAGGTTTTTTTCCCAATTTTCATTCAATTTTTTTTGTTTTAAAACTGATGTTTTTTAGCTTTAAATTTTTTCAATTTTAAATAATAGAAATTTGGATGATATATTTATAAAACGATGTGAAACTAACCGGATTTTGGATCTCGTCATTGATCGTTAGCGATTCCACAAATTCAACTTGTTTTTGCATCGTTATGTAGATTTAGCATACAAATTTCTATTTAAAAAAAAAAAAGATTTTCAATTTTTTTTTTTTTTAAAACTGATTTTCTTTAGCTTTTAATTTTTAAAGTTTTAAAATAATAGATATTTGGATAGTAAAGTTACAAAATGATGTGAAAGTAACAGGATTTTTTATCCCATCATTGATCATTAGTGATTCCACAAATTCAATTTATTTTCGCATCGTTATTTAGTGATTCCACAAATTCAAATTTATATAGTGATTATATGTAATATTTTTTCATTTGTAAACTTTTTTATATGTATTGCATAATTTAAAATACATGAAAAGGAAATTGAGAGGCGTTCTAAATGTTTCAATCAAAATTTTTAATGATTTAAATATATTTTTATCATATTTTAATCCAAAATATCAAATTAATTTCTTTTCAATGCATTTATGATTTGTCTTTTATTAAAATGTTATTAATAAAACATTGTAGTTTTTGAAAAACAGAACAAAAAATAAACAAATTGACAAAAAATAAAAGGAAAATTTAAGAAAACCATATGCAAAATATAAGAAAATAAAAATTAAAAATGATAAAGGATAAAAGTCGTATGTTCAAATTTGAAAATTCAAAATAACAATAGATGAAATTTTTGGTTCAAATTTGGAGATACTTTCAAAAGTAACACATATATTAGATGTTTTTTCAAAAATATCGTTGTGTACGTAAATTTTCAATAATATCACTTTTTACTGTTTATAAGATAGTTATAAAACTTTTATAATATTTTGTAGAAGTTTTATCATTATTATAGGAGTAAGCACTAGCTGAAATCAAAATTTTGTGATGCTTAACTGCTAGTTATAAAACTTTTATAATTTTATGTAGAAGTTTTCACGTTTTTGAAAAATAAATTTATAATATAAACACAGGTTTGTTATATATTATCTATTTTTCTTAAATTGATTTATATGGTATCTTCAAATCACTATTTTTCTTATTGATATATTATTTACAAAAACAATATCAGAAAATAATTGGACCTATTAACTCTTTTACAAAAAACTTTTTAGTTTTCATGTTGTCTTTATAAACTAATTTGAATTTTACAATTATTTGGACCTACATACACTATGGTGGACATCAAGAGTCCACCACAATATCAGTAACAGGATTCAAAGTTACAAAGGAGACATAGCACAATGTTAGTTAGATGACCGGAAACAATAACTGCTAAATGGATCGAATCGCGCCATATCGTTGAGTTTGTTATGAATTTTATTAAACCGAGATTAGATTCGGACCCAACATCTGTTGATGTCAGGAATGATTATTTTGAAGATAGCTTTCGTTTTTCCGTCTGGTAGAGATATCGTAGGCGTAGCAGCCTACTTTTATCCTCTTGGATCATGTCTCTCTTGGAACAATTCTCGGGGGTGGGTGCAGCCTCAAAGTCACATTTTAATGATACATCTCAAATAATGCATTTGATCAATTTCATAATTGCTTATCTTAGATTTGGTCCCAACTACGCGTGTTACTTCTTCTTGCGCTTTCTTTAAAACATCAGGATACTTCAATGCTACGAATTGGCACAAATGTACTCTACAATTGCATCAAATTTCAGGGTTTGTTGATGCCCTCTTTCTATCAATATTTCAGCAGTTGGTCTTTCTTTATGCTGATTGTGTGTGATCTGTTCTTGTTGCGGTTACGTTCACAGGACGTTACAAACACAATGTTCAGCTTCAGCTTCTCCGGCGGTTCCTGATCGAGGAGAGAATGTTGCGGCATGTTAATCACCATCAACTTACCGAGGGTTCGTACAATACGAACGGTTAGACAATTTCAATTAATACATATTGTGAATGGGAAAAAAAATAAGTTGAAAAGATGGAGAAAAATTCTTATACAATCTATTCCGTAAAATATATTTGTAAATTAAAAAAAAAACTTATCCATTTAATGGATAGTAAAAAAAAAAAAAAAAAATCTTCTTCACTACCAGTCTGAGGATTCCCGGGAAAGTAAAGAAACTTGCACTGCTAACACGTAATGCTTCTGAGAATTCGAAGCTAATGAAGCTCTTCGTAAGTAGCAATCTGCTCAGAAACTCTGTTTTCTTCAAGATCTCCGCCTTTGTTTTGATCTCCGTTGCTTGTTTCTTCCTCGGTAAACATTGGTCTGAGGATGGCTTCCGCCGTCTCATCTTCTTCTCCGCCGAGCCTTCTCGATCCCCCATTGTCGCACTCTCACCTGATTTCGGAAAAACGTATAACATCTCTGATTTGATCTATGAGAGTCACCCGATTTTGCCTCCGTCTTTGTCACCGCCGCCGCCGCCAGATTCTGTTGAGCTGAAGGTGTTTGGGATCGTTAATGAGAATGGAAAAATGTCTGATGAGTTCCAGATTGGTGATTACGACGCTGAATCGGTGGAGACGTTGGGGAATCAGACGGAATTCGAGAGTAGCGACGGTGATATTAAATCCACCACGGCTAGAGTTAGTGTGAGAAAATTCGAGATGTGTTCGGAGAATATGACGGAGTACATTCCTTGTTTGGATAATGTAGAAGCCATCAAAAGGCTTAATTCGACGGCGCGTGGAGAGCGATTTGAGCGGAATTGTCCTAAAGAAGGAATGGGGTTGAATTGCACCGTTCCTGTTCCCAATGGGTACCGTCCTCCGATTCCGTGGCCGGGAAGCCGTGATGAGGTATTTGTGAAGCTCTCTGTTCTGATTTTGTTTTTGGTTGATTGTGTATTGTCAAGGGAAAGTTCTGATTTTGATTTACAGGTGTGGTTCAACAATGTTCCACATACTAAACTTGTTGAAGATAAAGGTGGTCAAAACTGGATTTACAAAGAGAATGACAAATTCAAGTTTCCTGGTGGTGGTACTCAGTTTATACACGGGGCTGATCAGTACTTGGATCAGATCTCTCAGGTTATTTGATTTTTATGTCTCAGTGTGAGAATTATTTGCATCATTGGAATCTGAAGTTACTGTGTTTTTGTGGTTGTATGTATAGATGATTCCTGATATCAGCTTTGGTAATCATACACGAGTTGTTCTTGACATTGGATGCGGTGTGGCAAGTTTTGGTGCCTACTTAATTTCACGAAATGTCTTGACTATGTCTATAGCTCCAAAAGATGTTCACGAGAACCAGATACAATTTGCTCTCGAGCGTGGTGTCCCTGCAATGGTGGCAGCATTCACAACACGGAGATTGTTGTACCCAAGCCAAGCTTTTGATTTGGTTCATTGTTCAAGATGTAGAATCAACTGGACTCGTGATGGTATGCAAATCTTTTATGCCACCGTTTTACTTATTACAATGTTACACCATAAATCTTATTCCAATTCGGCTGCACAAACTTGTTACTGGTTCCTTCCACCATGTTCAGCTCTTTTAGTTTATTCACAAAGTTAGAGCTACAACTGTGCTCTGATAGCTGCTGTGTCATTTAACATCAAACCTTAAGTAAAAAAGGTGAAACTGAACACCAAGTATTTCTAAGCTGACAGATTTTCCTGTATTGTCATTGTTTTTGATATGAAGATGGGATCCTGCTCCTTGAAGTTAATAGGATGCTTCGTGCCGGAGGATATTTTGTTTGGGCAGCACAACCTGTATATAAGCATGAAAAGGCCTTGGAAGAACAGTGGGAAGGTATCATCCATGCAGCTTAATATTTCATTTCTGCGTTCATGAAGTATCAGTTTTGGTTATACAAGCATGAGAATGCTCTAAAAGCTACTACCTACACTACATTGCTGAATTAAAAAAAAATTCCATATCCTTGATTTCGTTTGCCTATCCGAAGGCATTTAGAGAAAGTTTCTTTTGGTCAGCAAGGATATATATATATAGTCTATTTTTTTATACCATGATTGTATGTGATATAGTAAGATGAATTTTTTTCGTTTTTCCAGAGATGCTAAACCTTACCACTAGGCTATGCTGGGTTCTTGTAAAGAAGGAAGGATATATAGCTATCTGGCAGAAGCCTGTAAATAACACTCGTTATCTTAGTCGTGGTGCTGGACTCACTCCTCCTTTGTGCAATTCTGAAGATGACCCAGATAATGTTTGGTATGTTTGTGCTACCTTAAATTTTCCACTTCTTTTAGCTGCCAAATTAAAAATTAACATCGAGAAACTGCTTTGGTTCCCAATCTTGACATTGACTGTTCGACTTGTTGGTGCGCCTTGCTTCTATTCCTTAGGCTAAGAGTTGTTTGATTCAGCAACTTCTTGTATCCTAGGGGTTTTTCACCTGTGAACGATGCTGTGATTATGTTAGGTACGTGGATCTGAAGGCATGCATTACTAGAATTGAAGAAAATGGATATGGAGCAAATCTTGCTCCTTGGCCAGCTCGTTTACAGACCCCACCGGATAGGCTGCAGACAATACAAATCGATTCTTACGTAGCCCGAAAAGAGCTCTTTGTAGCTGAATCAAAGTACTGGAAAGAAATAATATCAAACTATGTAAATGCCCTACACTGGAAGCAGATAGGACTCAGAAATGTCTTGGACATGAGAGCTGGATTTGGCGGGTACGTTTTCTCATCGCTATACTCTCTCATTAGACACAGCCAAAATGGCTACTTCATATATTCTTGAGTTTCTAACTTCCTATTTTTGGTAGATTTGCAGCTGCATTAGCTGAGCTAAAGGTTGATTGCTGGGTTCTCAACGTTATCCCAGTCAGTGGTCCCAACACATTACCCGTTATATATGACCGTGGACTACTAGGCGTAATGCATGACTGGTATGAAGACTTCTTACTCCAAAAACACAACCATATCAAACTAATAGGACCGTTATTCCTATAACACACAATAACATTGTATAAATTGGCACTGCTTAAGACATCGATAATTTTCTTTCAGGTGTGAGCCATTCGATACTTACCCGAGAAGCTACGATTTGCTGCATGCCGCGGGTCTATTTTCCATTGAAAGAAAAAGGTAACAACAGCCATTCTGTTTTGCAAATTAAATAAACTCATCTAGCCTTTTTCCCATTTGAAAGTATTGTAAACTTTGTTCTGGCTGGTGGCCTTGTTCAGGTGCAACATGACAACGATGATGCTAGAGATGGACAGGATTTTGAGACCTGGAGGACGTGTATACATACGGGATACTATCAATGTAATGAGTGAGCTTCAAGAGATTGGAAACGCAATGAGGTGGCACACGAGCTTACGTGAAACTGCTGAAGGACCTCACGCAAGTTACAGGGTTCTCGTATGTGAGAAGCGGTTAGAATCGTCTGAGAAGCGTCGGACCAAGAAGAAGAGGAAGACTAAAGGAAAAAGAGCTTGACATGTCCATAAAATACAAACAATTTTCATTGATAATGGTTAGTTTAGTTGGGAGGCTTTTGGAATTTTAGAAAAGTTAGGGACTCTAAAACAAACTCTAAATTGTTTGTGAGGATTTGGCTAATAACCCTCTTTCACGTTGATTGAAACCGGCTTAAACTCACTAAACCCAAATATTTCACCTGTTGTTTACATAATCTACGAAGAGTCGACAAGACAATACTGGTTGATCCATGATCTAAATAACCTTGGTTATGGTTCTCCCAAACTCATACAGCCCATGGAGCTGAGCTTGGGGAGAAGGAACTTTGGGTGGCCGTATGAGGTAGTTGAGGATGTGAAAAGGTAAGTAGAACCTAATCCTGACTCCGGAAAAAGCTCTTCTTCTTCGAGGTACGTTTGATTTTTACTCTTTTTGCTGTCTAAATTTCCCGTTGGGATGTTGACAAACCATGGAAACTGCCAGCAATTTTCTGTCCAGAATTTGCTGATTCCGTAAGGGAAATATGTTTACATGGTTCGGTTTACATGGTTTTGAAATTATAATTGATTTCTGTTCGGTTTAAATTGGTTTTGAGAAGAAAACAAAAAAACATTAATAAGTCACGCGATGGAAATTTTGGAGAGAAGTGCGTCGATCGAAATAGGCATGATTCCGAAAGGTAAACCCCTTTAGGAATTGCTCTCACTCGCGCAACGCGCACTTTGTGCGAGTGGGTGTGAAATAGAGCCTTCTGATTGGCTTAAAAACTCTAAAAAAAGTGAAATAGTATACATGTTGCTCCTCCTCTTTTATATATTTTGCTTCTTCTTCTCTGTTTTGAGGCAAAAACACGAAGAGCTCACAATAAGATTCATGCTTTCAGATTTAGACTGGTGAGTGCTAAAATCTATATAAACCTTAATCATTGCTAATCTTCTTTGTTCTTATCGAATCTACAGTTCTGGTATGATTTTTATTCGTCCTGTTTTGTTTTGACTTTGTTGCCGAGAAATTTAACTAAAACTAGTAAAGCTAAGCTCGTTTGTCATGTTTAATTTGGAGCAATGAATCGTTTTTCTTCCTCTATTGGATATAGATTTTTTTTATAATTTGGAACCACGGAAGTAGATATCTTCAGGAATCTTCTTGGCTTGATTCTGAGTTTTTGGAATTTCAAAGTTTAATCATTTCCTACACTTCTTGCAAATAGAATGTTCAAAGATTACTGTGATTTGGATCCTTTTATACACTTGTTAGTTTGTGATTTTATCTGAAATTCCACACTCTTAGTTAACTTTACTAAACCATTTGATTGCCAAAGTATATATATGCTTCATAGTATGATCTAATGATAATATGAATGTCTATTTGTGGCATAAAATTCTATCTCAGGAAAAGAAAATTCAGAAGCTTAACGAGCTGGTCCGAGATCCAAGGAGGCAGTTATTGCAATGCAGAAATGAAAATTAGGTTGAGTTGACGGAGCTAGAAACTGAGATGATCAGCTATTAGTAACAGGTGTTTAGCTCCATATTACAGGTACATTCTTTTCCCCTAGTACATCTTTCTGTGTAGTGATGCATGATTTGAAAGCATTCATTGACTTAAGAGTTACTATTGATGGATACCTCGAAGCTCGAAAGAAGAAAATGGAAGAAGCTCTTAGCAGCTTTGATTTCAAAGAAGTTGCAGCTTCGCTTTCTGATCCCATCACACCAACATTGACTCAACACCAGTCTAGTGGGTTTTCACCACATGATTTGTTGGCTGAATTGTGTGAGAGAATTAAAACCTTACCCAAAGCTGAAGTCACCAATATATTCTTCAGATCTATTGCCATTGCCTTGCTGAGAGGTAACATAAGGAAATATAAATTGGAGAGAACTAGTGATACTGGTAAAGCAACTATCAAAAGAGTTGCTGCAACTCTAGGGATTGAAATCAGAGACAAGTGTCACAAAAAGCTTGTTCTAACAAACAAAACTGTGACTTTCTCAAGAATGATAGCTCTTATCCCTCACTTGGCAAGCCAGCTAATTATCTCTAAGGAGAGCCTTTTTGTCAAAAAGTTTGCTCCTTTCATTAATGCCATTAGTTTCCTGCTCAAACTCATAAGCTTCCTATTGCTATGCTTCATTCTGGATTTGCTGGTCTGATTCCGAGAGAAAGTGATGATATAGAAATGATAGACCTCATCTGCATGTGTCACTCTGCTTCTGTGGATGAGTTCTCTCTTTTGATTACTCCTCAAGAACATAGAAGTTTTCATGCAATGTAAGAGAATCGGAAAAGATATACCGAGGCTGCCCTCCTCTCCTATGTTATTTATTGATAAAGGTTTGTACTTGCTTCATTTTTTCAGTCACCGGAAGTTCGAATTTGGTTTCTGATGGGATCTAAACAAGTATCAAAGTCTAGAATTGCTGGATTTAGCAAGTAGACTGCTATGTCACAGTCCCAGTTCGTTTTCGTCCACTCAGGTGAATGGCGATTCCGCTGTGTAGGATTCAAACACTTTGTTTAATGTTTTATCTGTGGATTATTGACATTGGTTTATTCTTGACAGTAGTCCAAGGGAAATCCAACAAGGAGAGAAGATTGCATGGTATGCAGATGGGGAAACAATTGTGAGGAATTAGCATAATCAATCAATAGCTTATGCATATGGTTAGTTCTAACAGTTTGACTAGTGTTCATTGGTTTCTGTACCAATCATAAATGTTGTTATGTGGAATAGACTGAAGTTTCCTGCATCATGAATCAAGACCTAAACTAAACTAGATGTCAAAGTCCAATCTGCCATATTGTTTCTTAAAATTTCTGTCCTTTCTTACAGACCGTGTTTTCGGGCCTACGACGACTACACGCTATATCTATTATGTTGCTACTCAGCATGTCGTTCATGGTGCTACGGTGGGGATCAATGGTATGGAGTAAACACCTTTTATTGGTCGGTCTAGTTAAGACACTATTCTTAGAAGATAAAAAGTAGTTATATTATCAAAGCTTACCCCAAGCTACAATAACATGAACAGTTTGCATGAGCATTCATTTAGAAAACGAGATCTTTGAGATGCCAAACTGTATCTAGTGCTTCTTCTAGTCTTAAGAACACCTTGAGTTATATTTCTTTTGCCAATTTGATTTTAATGAAGTGAGTGTTAATCCAACCACAGGGACCATTTTCGCATATGGAGTGAACTCACACTATGCATGTAAGATTCACTAATCATGATATTTCTTACTTTTCATCTTATTATAATAAAACGTATTAGGTTACTACCTTGTACAATGTACTTCAATGTGTTATCCCAGACATGCTTCTATGTCAGAGAGTCATTTATCTCGTCCTTCGTTCCTGGCTAGTCTTGTAGTAGCCATAACGATTTGGCTATTCTCTTTCTAGCTAGTGTTGCTGTTGACCTTATAAAGCCTTTTCTTTGACTCTAGTTAGCATATAGCTGCATTCTTTAGGTTAGTGCTCTGCTTTACACACTTTTCAACCTAGTAGAATTTTTCTCTTATGGACACCCATGATCCGTACATGGTCCTGCCCTAATGCCGGATGATTTCACACACTTCATTTCAGGGACCATGTTTACGTTTGAAGATGTGCATGAAATAGAACAATTTTATCTCATGAAGACAGTTTTGTTTGGTTTAAATGTCAGAGGGACCAAAGATCTCCAGGTATAATACCATCAGCCGTGAAAGATGCTTTCCGCATTATACAAGAGGTACTTCTTAGGTTGTTGATTAGTCGAATTCCCTGGCCTAAGTGCTAGCTATTCTACCTGCTTTTCGTCTCTCCTTTCACTATATATCCTGTTCACCAGTGGTGCAAATGATAGTCAGATTCTGCTTTTGATATATCTTAAAATCCATAAGGTTCATTTTACTTGAGGTTGTCAATGATTTATTGAACCCAGCAGGACAAAATTTGAGGAATAGAGAAGATGAGCAGGTACTTGTTTCAGTATTTGATCCTCTTATTAACTTTCTGTTGGTGACATGCATAGTGCTTATTTCACTGTCTTATTTGTTACTATAGTGCTTATCATAGAATCCTAAAACCTTGCACACCATATTTGTTTAATTAGAGGTGACATCTTTTCTCGTACTTTCATTTTCTTATAAATGAAATTCTCTGGGCAATGTGAAAAGTGGCCTGATTATCAATATTTGAATGTTCTAGGTTACATTTCTTATTCAAGTACACTAGAATTGATCCTGTTGAGTGTTGACTACTTGTATCGCTTTGCCCTCTACAATTCTGCAATGAATCTCTCATTATTGCCGATTGTAGGGAAATTTTATTGAAGGGATTGAAGAAGAAGTTGGTCTATCCCTTGCTCATGCGCTTTCTCTTATAGCAGCTGGCACTTCCATGTAAATTTCGGTTCGGTTTACAATGGTTTTAAAATTACAATTGATTTTCGGTTCGGTTTATATTGGTTTAAAAACGAAAAAAAAAAAAGAAAAGAGTCACGCGATGGAAATTTTGGAGAGAAGTGCGTCGATCGAAATAGGCATGATTCCGAAAGGTAAACCCCTTTAGGAATTGCTCTCACTCGCGCAACGCGCACTTTGTGCGAGTGGGTGTGAAATAGAGCCTTCTGATTGGCTTAAAAACTCTAAAAAAAGTGAAATAGTATACATGTTGCTACCTCCTCTTTTATGTTCTTATATATTTTTCTTCCTTCTCTCTCGGTCTGAGGCAAAAACTAGATTCATGCTTTCAGATTTTGACTGGTGAGTGCTAAAATCTGTATAAACCTTGATTATTGCTTATCGTCTTTTTTTTTCTTATCGAATCTATACTTCTGGTCTGAATTATTTGGTGTTTTTTTGTCCTGTTCTGATTTTGTTTTTGGTTGATTTTGTATTGTCAAAGGAAAGTTTCTGATATTTGTTTACAGGTGTGGTTCCACATAGTCGACTTGTTGAAGACAAAGAAAATGACAAATACAAGTATCCTGGTGCCTGGTGGTGTACTCAGTTTATACACGGAGCTGATCAGTACTTGGATCAGATCTCTCAGGTTAGTATGTTTTTAAGACTCAATGTTAAAAATATTTGCATCTGTATTCACGTGAATCTGATGTTGCTGTAATTTTATATGTACATTAGATGATTCCTGATATCAGCTTTGGTAATCATACACGACTTGTTCTTGACATTGGATGGGGTGTGGCAAGTTTTGGTGCCTACTTAATGTCTTGGCTATCTCCATAGCTCCAAAACATGTTCATCAGAACCAGATACAGTTTGCTCTTGAGCTTGGTGTTCCTGTAATGGTGGCCAAGCCAAGCTTTTGATTTGGTACTTTGTTCAAGATGTCTAATCAACTGGACTCGTGATGGTATGCAAAACTCTTATGCCACCGTTGTTTACTTATTACAAAGTTACAGACATAAATCTTATTCCAATTTGGTTGCACAAACTTGTTACCCATTCCTTCCACCATGTTTAGTTATTATTGCTCTTTTGATTTATACACAAAGTTATCAATCTGTGCCCCCCTAGAGCTAAGACTGTGCTCTGCTAGCTGATGTGTCATTTAATGTCAAACTTTCAAGTAATAATGTGAAACTGAACATCAAGTACTTCTAAGCTTTTACTGACAGATTCTCCTCTATTGTCATTGTTTTTCATTTGAAGATGGGATCCTGCTCCTTGACGTTAATAGGATGCTTCATGCCGGAGGGTATTTTGTTTGGGCAGCACACGCACAACCTGTATATTTTCATGAAAAGGCCTTGGAAGAACAGTGGGAAGGTATCATCCATGCTGCTTACTATCTCATTTCTGCGTTCAGGAAGTGTCACTTTTGTTATACAGTACAAGCATTCCAACCAATGCACTTTTGGCTGAAAATTCTCAAATTTCTAGGGAGGAAGCTCTAAAAGATACTATCTACACGACACTGCTGAATTAATATATTTCCATATTCTTGGTTCAGTTTGCCTATCACAAGGCATTTACAGCAAGTTTCTTTTGGTCTGCAAGGATATAGTCTCTTAATTGAGAGCAAGTTTCTTTTGGTCTGCAAGGATATAGTCTCTTAATTGAGATCATGCTTGTATGTGACTTAGTAAGATGGATCTTTTTCCGTTTTTGAGAGATGCTAAACCTTACCACTAGCTGTGCTGGGTTATTATAATGTTTGTTGGTTGGTGGCCTTGTTCAGGTGAAACATGACAACGATGATGCTAGAGATGGACCGGATTTTAAGACCTCGAGGACGTGTATACATACGGGACACAATCAATGTAATGAGCTAGATTCAAGAGATTGGAAACGCAATGAGGTGGCACATGAGCTTATGTGAAACTGCTGAAGGACCTCACTCAAGTTACAGGGTTCTCTTATGTGAGAAGCAGTTTGAATCGTCTGAGAAACGTCGTACCAAGAAGAAGAGGAAGACTAGAGGGAAAAAAGCTTGACATTTACATAGAATGCAAATGATGGGCTACAAGTTTCTGGGGATCTTTGATCAATGGTTAGTTTAGTTGGGAGGCTTTTGGAATTTTAGAAAAGTTAGCGACTCTGAAACTGTTTGTGAGGTTTTGGCGTTTAACCCTCTTTAACGTTATTGAAACTCACTTAACCCAAATATTTCACATGTTGTTGACATAATTTAGGAAGAGTCACAAGGCAACACTATATGATGCATGATGGTATGTTTGTCAATGAAAATACTCTGTTCCATATACCTAAATCAATGACAAATGTTGTAGATCTACATAAACTGGTGCATAACTGTGCCTTGATTTATTTAACGGCTATATTAGGAAAACCAATGTGAAGATAATTCACATTATTACTACAAGTTTAAAGAAGTCATAAAAGGTAAACAAGACCAACGGGCAAAAACCTCACGAGGATTCTTGCTTTACTAGTAACGTTGATATGAGAGATTTTGGCTACATGGTGTAGCTAAAACCGTTGACAGTGAATCCTCCATCGACGGATATGACCTGTCCGGTAATGTAAGATGCTGCGGGAAGGCAGAGAAAGGCAACCAGTGATGCGACTTCCTCTGGTTCTCCAACGCGCCCAAGTGGAGTCCGTGAAACTACCGCCTCAACAAAATCTTTCTTCTCAAGTAGCTGCATAAGAACATCATAACAATATCAAATCGTTAATTATCTGATATTCACATAAATCATCTAAGTGAACATCAGAAGCTACATAATATTCATGGTTTTTATCTGCCAACCCATAACCTTATTCTCCTACAGCTTTATCAATCTAAGTGAAACAATGTTCCATATGCGTTATTTTAGGGCATAATATAGTATACCGTTTCCACAAGTGAGGTCTTGATGTACCATGGCGCCACGCAATTGGTTCTGATGTTGTCCCTTGCCCACTCGCAAGCTAGATTTCTTGTAAGCTGATTAAGTGCTCCTAAAAAAACAACCCTAATGTTACCTACTTTTACCATCCTTTATTTTCGGTTTCTCTGAAAAATGAAGAACATAGACTCACCTTTAGTTGCACCATAGATAGATCCACTTTGAAGATGCACCAGGCCAGCTACAGAGGAGATGAACACAATGCTTCCGACACCAGATGCTTTTAAAAGAGGATGAGCAATTTGGGATAAATGGAAAGCAGATTCTAAGTTGGTCGTCATGATTTTTGCATATTCCTCGCTTGAGTATTCAACTGTTGGTTTCCTGACATTAGTTCCAACATTGTTTACCTGAAAACAAAACAAAGTTGAGAAATTTTCAGAAGGGCAAAGAATGATTCAAACCCCTAACTTGTGCCTGTAATGTTGACCATGTTATATAAGATCTTGCATAATAGGTGGAAACTTACATGAGATCAACAATCATCACTATATGGTTCAACGATAAATCGTAAGCCTTAGATTACATGTATTGAATTGACAGATAGCTGATCATTACATGTATTAAACCATCACAAGTCTAATAAACTTACAAGGATGCTGAGCTAATTTGATATATGATTTCAAGATTTGGTGAAGATTCCAATGTGTAGAAACCTCATCAAAAAAGCATAGAAAACAAAAAAGTCTTTAGCAGGAGAAGGAAACTTACAAGGATGTTGAGCTTGCCGCTGAAGGCAGAAGAAGCTTCCTGAATCAACTTCTCCCTCTGATCCCTAACCGAAGCATCACAAACCGAACCAGACACCACTAAACCATTGGATTTCCAATCATTCAAGCATGCATTTAGCTCTTCCTGGTTCCTTGAACAAGTATGAACTTTTGCACCAAATTTTGCTAGTTCCTCCACTACTGCTCTCCTGAAGGGTGTACGCCGGGAAAAGAAAAAAAAAACAGAGATTATGCATTCAATACTATACTCATGCAAGTGATGCCATAAATTCGATTCAAATCTTGTTATAAAATGTCAATACAGAGGCTCAACAGGTTCAAGAGTTTCCTAACAATCACAGGATAAACCAAATCATGCCAGTCGTGAGATAATTGGAAGCCAATTATAAAAAAAAAGAGAGGAGAGACAAACCCGATTCCACGAGTCCCGCCGGTAACCAGAGCTGTTTTTCCGGCGAGAGACCATCTTTTGTCAGCTTCCATTGTCACGCTCACTCCTCCTTGGAATCTCTCACTGTCTCTCTTTTTGTGGATGTGTGAGTGAACGAACGAACGAACTGGTTGGGCTCAACTCCTATAAGAGCCTCAACTCCGAGATATTACTATTGGGCCTCAACTCACGATGGGTCCGTTTATGTGCTCACAGCCCATTACGTTCATTATATCCACTACCTTGAAATACACATACATAGGATGCAAATAGGTAAAACTGTAAAATTAGGATTTGGGTTGGTCAAATTGGATTACATACGGAGAGACACGACCTCAATGAAAAAAAACAAAAAAAGAGTAATTTTTTAATAAAAAATGGTGATTCTCCGATTTGACTTTGGATGCATCTTAATGCACACGGTTTTGTGAAGGTGTACATGCGAAGCAGAACAAATAGCCAAAAAAGGAAAGTACATTGAAACAAGAGGAAGAAGGAAAGGTTACTAAATTAGTAAATTCTAATGGACAAATCATTAAAAAAAAAAGAGCTAGCCAGAAAAATGAATTTTGATGAATAATGAGAGAGGAAGCATCAAGCATGAGCATGTGCCTTCTGAGCTCTCCTTTAAAGGCTCTCTCTTCTTCTCTGTATTATCTTGTTTTACACTAAAGAAGTCACCTATTTGCCACTCTATCTCCGAACCTTTCACTTTCCTATTGTATGCATTTTGATATTAATAAGACATATTGACATTATAGATGTGTGTAATGATGGTGCAACTTCAAATTGAGTTTCTTGAATGGGAAAGCAAGACAACAGAGAATTTGGACTTTTCACTTTACCTGTTTGTGTATATAGGTGTTATATCAACACACACCAAAATAACTTTGGGGTACATTGATATATATTAGCTTTTATGGTAACTATTGAATTATATATTCTTAACTATATATATATATATATATATATATATATATATATAGGTTATTAGAATAACATGGTAGCAAATATTGAGACTAAATTCAAAAAAAAAAATTCATAATATCATCACACATTTTTATAACAAATATTTATCCTCAAACTTTCAAAAAAAATGAGTGAGAGGAAACCAAATAGAAAAAAAATATAAAGTAAATTAAGAATGAAATTGAGAATGAGAAGAGCACATTGAATATTCAGAAGCAGAATTTCCTAAAGAGGAAATGATGTTACAGCTGGTGGTTACAAGTTACATGACATAAATTCTTTTTATTCTCCTTTTTACATTCGCTTTACATTTTTTGTTGAGTTAAGTTCTCTTCTTTTTGCAGTTGCAGAGCAGAGTCTGAGAGATTTTTTAATTCTCTGTTTTAATTTTTTGGGGTAGACTTTTAGTTCAGTTTGGTTTGGAGGCTTCGAAATATTAAGTCAAAAACCATATCTCATGTGGTTTCCTCTTTTAGACAACGTTGAAATTCGATGCCTCTCCCTTTTAAAACCATAGTTTCCTTTTAAACCATCGGTTTCATTCTTTCTTTCTCATTTTTTCCTTAAATTTATTCCATTTCTCTCTTATATACAAACGTTAGAGTATGTTTAAATTAGGGGGTGTAAATTGTGAAAACTGAAAAGACCACTCTCACTTCCTTCAATTAGATTTTACCCCTTCTCCTCTTAGTCGGTACTAGTTCCACAGTCACAACAGAATATATGTATATATATATACTGATATACATGAGTAATTTATTTTTTGTGCAACATGTGTAATATGTTCATATATATCTGCAAAGTTGGTGTGAACAAATAATAATCATCTGTTCCCGCATATGCCCATTACATTTCTATTTAATTCGATCATTAATACTTTGATAGTCCATTTTCCTGTTTACCAAGAGAAATAATGAGAAAAATATTTATTACTGTTCAGTATTGTTTCCAGATACAGTTTTATTGATTTATCAAATTATAAAACCAACTAGTTAGCAAAAGTAAATTTCGAAGTTCCTACTATTTCCAAACATATAAAACACAATGATTATACTGTTTTCATGTGCCAACCACTGATACAGCAATATATGTAAAAATGTTAAATTTAGATTGGAGCTTATAGTAAACATTGATTACGTTGCCGCTATTTACAAGTAAAACCCAAATATACAATTATAGGCTTTTTTTTTTGTTCACCACCTAATTATAGGCTATATATATACACTATATCAGCTATTAAGATTACAGTTAAGTTAAATAATTTATACTAATTTTTTCTTATTTTTAAATTTCATCGTAAGATTATGATAATTTGTCTCTAATTTCTCTTACGGCTATTGTTTGAATACCAGGGTAATTTTCATCAACGATTATTTATTTTTATTATTTTTGCCAACCAATGATTTATTGTTTAAGTTTGTCATCACAAACGAAACTCCAATCAACAGACCTTTTCAAAATTATTACGGCAACTCCAATCAACAATCTTTCGATAGGCATAAATATTGAAAACCAAATCGTGAGAAAGTTACATCATTCGTAAATAAAAAAAAAAAAAGTCAAAAATATTTAGATTGTCTTATGAATTAGAGCAAAGACTATACGTGTTGACTTTTTCCATAAGATAAAAATATTACTATATCAAAGCCAACACTACAGAACCTACTCTCGTTTCACTCTTGAGATTAGAGACAGTTTAACTTCTTCTTTTTGGCAATCACATTAACTATTATTACTTTTTTAATTACTTAAGCTAGTTAACCTTAGGCGGATCAGCTCCTAGCCTTAGCTCAAGATCCAACTCCTCATGATGACCGTTGATCTTGGAAACTCCAATGACCAACCCTAACATCATCGGAAATCTTGCCACATCCGTCTTTGCCCTCTTCCATGATGAAGATGATCCTTTGATTAGTTGTTTCTTCCGAGGATCAAACTCAGAACTTAGTAGACCGACTGACAAGTCAGTCTTGACTTCATCATTGTCATGCTCATATCGTTGCATAGAACTTTCTAAAACATTATTATTACAAACATCACTTATCTCCCTTTTAGTTCCATTAGGCTTTCTTGTTTCTTCTTGGACGAGAACCTTTGACCCCACATCAAGAACTTGTTGTTGACGATCATATTCAGGATGTGTGGCTTGGTCAGTTGATGAAGGTGATAATGATTGCTGTTTGAGTCTAGCTCGGTCTCTTCGATGAACGTTCATATGACCGCCTAGTGCTTGCGCCGACTTGAACTCTCTCCCGCAAAAGCTGCACGAGTAAGACCTCGGCGGCCACATGCAAGCGCCTCCACCGCCATACTCCTCAGCTGACGCAAACGCTCTCTCTTCCCTAAACGGCCAAAACAATGTCCCATCCGAAGATGGCCTCGTAACCATCGGTCTAAGCTTCATCGACATCAAGCATTCTCCTCTCTCCATCATATGTAAGATTTGTATATTATAGTAGAAGAAGTTGAGAGAGTTTTTCTGTTTTTTTCTTTCAATTGTGGGAGTACTGAAGTGTGTAGATTTAGACGCACGTAGACTTATATAAAGAGGGACGCATATAGATAGGTGTGTGTGAGAATATGACTATATGGTTAAAGCATTGAATGTGAGAAAGCAACGTGGAGAACCATGAGTAAATAGGGAGAGGCTTTGATGGGGAAAGTTCTCTTTTACTTTAGTTACTCGTATGTCTCCACTCTATATATCTCTATACATGTTAAATGTTTAGATATTAATAATTTAGTTGGCGAGCTTTTGATTTGATAATAGCTAAATTAATGCCAGACGCAACTTAAGTTTTCCACGAGTCTACAAAATTAATAAGTTAGAGTCATGTTTAATTTTCTAACACCTAGCTAATAATATGACAAAAAATATGGTTTAATTTGAAATATTTATATTATTTTTATGGAGTCTACAACATATACCATCTTCGGATGTATGTGGCTGTGAGGTGATGATTACAGTGGACCAACAAATTGATTTATGATTAATTATTATATTGATTTAGCTAATGAGACAATGGAGCCGTGGGATACTGACAATAATTTATATGGTGTGATTTATTTACAATTATTATACGGATGAGAAGTAGAGATCTTTGCCTGAAATCTAGATTATTTTTATTAAGATGTTAACTGAAGAAGGACTCATATGTCAAGAGATTCTACCTACAATTTGTCTCCATATTACGGGTTTTCAGACAAGTACGAGCGAAAAATACAAAACGAGATTGGAGTACAAAGTATCCAAACTGAAGTGACTTAATTAGAAAGCCAAAATGTGTATATTTTTTAATTATAAGAAAAATGTGATAAAACGCCAAAACATGAATTTTGTTTTCGTATTGTATATTGTTTTGTGGAGTTAAGTGATTTTGTTGAGTGTGTTCTGTGTTGCATGAAAACATTTTTAGTTTTGGTGTCGTAACAAGACGCCAATACCTGTTCAATAAATAAAGAAATTATCACATTATTTATCGGATAGAAGAAAAATCCACTTACATATATATATAGGATTTTGGGCTTAAAGTGGTTTAGACTTAGGTGAGCTATTGGGCTCCCAAGAAAACCGTAAGCCATTGGGCTCAATTTCATTTCTATATAAGTATATATGTTTAAATTATAGGATAAACGACCTGTGTCTCCCTAGAAAGTTTCATATAGTATCACAACTACACAAAAGTTCGACACCTTGGTCCCCAAAATCAAAAGTTGGAGGTTTTAGTTTGGCATCGTTTCGGTACAGTAAACCACATATATGGCATCGGTTCGGGACAGTAAACCATAGATAAACCACGAAATTCAAAATTTTGGGGACCAAGGTTTCGAACTTTTGATTTGGGGGGAAACTGGAGTTTAACTTTGATCTGTGTGGACTGCGGTCGAGGTCCGAATTCTGTGTAGTTGTGATACTATATGAAACTTCCTAGGGGGACACAGGTCGTTTACCCTAAATTATACTATAATTTATTAAGAATTAACAGTAAATGATAACATTACATTATGTTTTTATTATGTAACATGTCTGCTTACTTCAAAATTTTATCATATAATAATATAAAATTGAAATCAATAGAATCTATAAAGGCATATCCTCTAAATTCTTAATAAATCTATTTATCAACTTGTTTCAATTTTTAGAGAAATAACTTTTTTTTTTGTAAGATATAGATTACAATTATTTGAATATATATACACAGATTATTGTTAAAGATGATAAAAATATCTCTTCATATATATATATATATATATATATATATATATATATATATATATTCGGTTAGATTCGGTTTAAACATTTGATTTAAAATGTTTAATTTCTATTGGTTTGATTATGAGTAACCACTAATCCATTATAATCAAAATCATTTCAATCCAATTCATTAAACTCATTAATCCATTTAATCCATTAATCCATTAATCCATTAAGATCCAAATTTTACATCCATTAGATCCATGGATTGGATTGGTTTGGATTGATCCATCAATTTCAATCCATTTTGACACCCCTATATATGATCTTAATAATTAAGCGAATCAAATATATTTCTTATTATGGCGAAGACAGTTATACTATAACCAATTTAATTTTCTTTGTTATTTTGTAATAACATTTTATATGATGTTATACAAATTAAATGTCATTCTCTCAATTGTAGAGATGTGCCTATTCGACTCTAGTGATATGTAATTATGTATTATTAAATTTCATCCGATTCTAAAGATTTATCATACTAAAGATATATATAAAATATTACATCAATTAGAACTTAACACAATTATACACAAAACATTTTATACATATAAAGAGAACCCTCACAGAACCTGAATACAAAACGAAAAAAAAACAAAAAAAAACTTGCATACATAATAATCCAAATTTAATTGGAGATTTAAGATCTACTAAATCTTTAGCAAATTGCATGTGATAAATAACAGGAATGTAAATAAAAAGATCGATATAGGAAATAAAACAAAAATCAGATTTATCATAGCGTTGTTTTATGGATCTATCATTTCTAGTTCGCGTCTAATTTTGTGGTGCATAGTAATAATAATCCATGTTCTGAAGCCATTGATGATTCACGAGCATTTCCTCTGAGTTCGTGAAGAACCCATCAAGGCAGTTTCTTCCGTCGACATTGTTTAAAACACTCTCATCGACGAAATTGGTCGTGTCCACAGTCATCTGATTCACAAACTCCGGTATGTTGTTAAGTTGTGATCCATTTTGAGTAGAGTATGAGAAATTCGTCATCTGTGATCCAAGAAACTCAATTTCCTCTTGCAAAGTCACAACCTATAAAAACAAGCCCACGAAGCAACATGACCGGACTGTTTCGAAAACACAAAACCATGATTTATATACATATGACGACATAAACAGGATCTACTCGTAGCTTGAAATGGTCTAAACTCTCAACAAGAATAAAAGAATCTTGTTCAAAAGTTTAAGAGACCTGTTGATGAAGAGCGAAGATGTGAGCAACGCAGCCATAGACAGGATCACGCATGCGAGAGAGAGCCTCGTAGGAGATGGTGATAGCAGCGACGCTTCTTTGATGTAGAGGCAAATGAAGCAAATGTTTAGAGACATTGCTTGCGCCGAAGACTTTGTGGACCGCTGCGAAATGGGAAGAGGCTTGTTCGTAGCTGAAGTAAGGCGAGAAGACACAGTCGCGGTTGCATTTCCTCCTTAGGAACTTGCATGCTCCACAAGATGATCCATGACCTGCCATTTTTTTTTTCTTTTGCGTTTACTCTGTTTTGTTTTATGGTTTTTGACCTTTTGTTAGATTGACTCAAATCACGTTGGTTTTTATAAGCCCCACCACTAAAAGTTCTTGAAAGAACGGCAAAAGAGTTCAATTTTGAGATAAACATCAATCATTTTTATAACTTTATAGTATTTTACTTGCACTTGATTGATCAATCTCATGAATAGTAAGGTACAAATTTCATAGACACTATAGTTAAATTACATTTTCGTAGATTTTTTTTAGTACGAGTATATATGTTGTATGGAATACCGAATACTGTTCGATCCACGCTGGAAACAAAAAACACATTTGTGTAGAAAGTCTGGGCTTGAGCCAAAATGCCCAAGCAGTTTACCTGGTAGTCCAGTTTACCTGAGATTGATTGATCAATCTCATGAATAGTAAGGTACAAATTTCATAGACACTATAGTTAAATTACATTTTCGTAGATTTTTTTTAGTACGAGTATATATGTTGTATGGAATACCGAATACTGTTCGATCCACGCTGGAAACAAAAAACACATTTGTGTAGAAAGTCTGGGCTTGAGCCAAAATGCCCAAGCAGTTTACCTGGTAGTCCAGTTTCAGGCGATCTAGCTACCTTCTGACATTAGTCGGATGCATTCCAAACTCGGGACAGATAGTGTGGTGGCCCTTCGGAAAGTAGTCCACTCTGAAGCACTTCGGTGCGTTTCTACCGGGACTGACCAAATCAGCCGTTAGGATTTATAAAAAAAAATATATATATATATATATATATATATATATATATATATATATATATATATATATATATACCGAATACATATATGTACGTCGAATTTTCATAATATCCAGTACGTGTCTAGTGTCTACTCCTAATATAAAATTTGCTTTATCTTATTTTCTGGGGGTCTGCATCGTGGCCTACATTTTCATGCTTGTTTTGGGCAAGCCAATATATTATTGAATGGCTTAAAGTGCCTTTTAAATTTCCTTCTAAAATCATTATATATATGTTTAGGCCAAACTAGTCTTGTTTTCCCTTATTCTCAACTGTTAAATAGTCTTTAGGCTTTACGGAAATGATAAATAATTGGTTGGGATGCAAATGCAGCCATTTTGCATGGGTGACACAGACAAAAGGTACAGTATCTTAGAAAAGGTCAATCTCTTATCAACTTCTTGTACATTGAACTTATTATTGAAGCCAATCCTGATTTCTCTTACCTTAATAGTTAAACCGAGAGATACAATCATCAAAAAAAAACTAGAAATTAATAATTATACATCTCTTAATATAGGAATTAATTACGGATTTTACCCTTTTTTATAATGGCATTTGTGGATTTTGCCATTTTTTGAATAATTTATGGATTTTGCCCTTTTTTTAGGTTCCAAAAATATGATTTAACATGCGTTTCATTCGTTATGTTTGGGTTTAGTCGGTTCCAGTTGTTCTTCGGGTTTAGTATTTGGTATAATGTACGTATTTTTGCAAAAAAAAATCATAAATACGTACATTTTTAAGTGTTAAAAAGGGCAAAATCCATAAATTATTCAAAAAGGGCAAAATTCATAAATGTCATTATAAAAAAGGGCAAAATCCGTAATAATCCCCGTAATATAGTGGTCAAGGAGTTTATGCTCATTAGTCTTTTTTATGGCCAGCATTGCGATCATTATACATATCGTAACAATAATAGATCAGCTTAGTCACTAAAAAACTAGAATAATTATATTGTTCTATGTATATGGTAGTTTTTTTTTTTTTTTTAATTGAAATCAAACTCTGTTTGAAGTCAAAATTAATCAAGACCGCATCTAGATGGAAGCACACTTAAATTTAAATACATACTCTTTTCGTTTTAAAATATAAGACGTTTTAGTTAAAAGCACGCAGATTGAGAAATATCAACTTTTAAAAAGTTAAACTAATCATGATTAAGACTGCATAATAGAAATAATAAAAAATATCAAATTGATATATAATTTGCATAGAAATTTGAAAACGTTTTATACTTTGAAACAAAAATAATACCTCAAAATGTAAAATGTTTTACATTTTGAAACGGAGAAAACATTTGAATTACTATTTTCGCCAAATTAAATTACTGTTCGGATTAGATATAGAGGTTATGAATCATCCTCCCCTATAACTACGTCGTCTTGATAGATCAATAATTGTTGATAACCTAAGTTCGCTGTCTATTTGATTTTCTGTTACATGCATAATCAACCTACAATTATGATTATTATATTTATAAATGGCCTTTCTTTGTTTGCCACTTCTTGTTTTGGGTGCGCAATGTAAGAAAATTAAACACCAAAAAGACGGCGACTATGACCCAACTGCCAATAATATTGAACTTACTGTTGTAAGTGCAAACCTCAATCAGTTTTTTTTTTTTTTTTTGTAACCTTAACGCATTCTAAGGAACCATGCACGTTTTATTATTGCTTTCAAAAAATAGAATAAAGTATTTCGTTGATTAAAATCAGTTCCGGAAACCTTCTTCTTAACATTTTCTCATATAAATGATGTTATTTTTATATAACATTTTCATACTACTGAAATTCGAAATTCCAAGTGAAAAAATGCAGATTCTGACCCAAATAACATTTCAAAACATATTTGAATTAATACATCCTTGCGAAGATGTGGTGAAGCACGAAAGAAAAAAAAGAGACAAAAGGAAGAGTTGATGCATTGGGATTGAGATTAATTAATGAGTCGTCACCGATGTTACTTTCGACTTTCGAACTAGCTACAACGTTTGTCTTTTATGACGCATGCAATCATATAGTGGTAAAAGAGAATTGGAAAAATGTTAGAAGGAACTAACTCAGGTTCGATCTACCCTAAAACTAAAAATCACATTTGTGTGAAAGGTTTTGGTTTGGGCTAAGGTCCAAGCAATTCATATGGTATTCGGGATCAGACTAACTAGATACCTCCGGGCATTAGTCGGAAAGCATTCCTAACTTAGGGCTAGGTAGTATGGTAGTCCAACACCCACCTAGGTGTTGGCGACGAGTCCATATGGTAGCACTTCGGTGCGTTCTCCCTGGAACTGACCGGATCAACCAATCGGATATATCAAAAAAATATTATAGTTTTAACTTTTTATATTCTTCTTTATATATGATGGTATATGTGGACCCTACGAGCCTTGTTTTCCTGTCTGTGTCATTAGCCTCATTCATTAAGTCTCTTTTCTAGTTATCTTTTGGTTTTGGTGGGTCTTAAGCCTATCGCCCAACCGGTGTCCTCTGTTTTATGGACTAAATTATGAAAACATTTTTAATTTGTCTTCTAGAACTTCGTTAGTAGTTATAGCACTACCCCAAGGAAAAATAAAACAGCTAAGTCACGGACAAAAAACAACAAATATTATTTTTCCTATTGAAGTGACTTACGGATTACGAATGGTTTAAGTACCAGTTGGTGTAGTCGACTGCTTTTTCCACAATTCGATTATTCCAGTGTTTTTGACATTTCAAATTTGTGGGATATATATATAGTTAGAGCAATATTATTAGGAGATTGTTAACTTTGGTTCTTAGTAAATTTTTAGTATTAAAAAATTGTAACAGTTTTAGTTAATACTTAAGATTTACCTCTTGCAAACATCTTTTGGCTATTTTGGCTATTAAGTAAGAAACTTTCTTACCAATAATAACCATTTGCCATTTAGTTAATACTTTTTAATACTTAAAATTTACCTAAAATATTTTTAAGAGCTTATTGATAATCATGGTCTTACGTACGTACCGATTAAATGACCAATATTAAAACTGGTCTAGTCGTTGATTATTAGAAGAATGAATTATGTGTGTAATGTGTCTTTATGAAGCATAGTATCATTTGACTTTAGTATATAGTACTGTATAACTGCAGAATCGCACATTTTTGTTCAGATATGTTTCTCAAGCAAGTTATTAATTTTCAAACCTAATTTCAGCTAACATAGTTACACCTGATTAAGATAGAGAACAATTGGAAGAAAAAAAACTTCACGATTGAGAAAAAAAAAAAAAACTTCACACCAAAGGTTTATTGGCATGTGTTTTAAAAACTTTACAACACACAAATAGGGAAGGGGAGAGGAGGATAAGACCAAAAGATAATATTTTGGTCTTATCCTCCTCTCCTTTTCCTCACTTGTGTGATTACTAATAAGCTTGACATCAGGAGCATCGTCACCATCATATATTAAAGCAAAAAAATTTTTAAAGCTTTAAAATAGATCTAATTAAACTTTAAAAGTTTTTAGATTCTTATATTGTAACATGTTTGTGTGTTTTTCTTAATCTCATATTTGATTTAATTTTATAAAGTTTAGGTTCTGTAAATCTTTTTTTGGGTTTATAGATTCGGATCCGAGAAGTATTGATGCTTGTAGTGTAGTTGGTTTGTTTGAGTTTTTTTCCCCTTTGTTTACCTTGTTTGGTCTTTGTCTCTGGGAATGTTCTTGTACTCGCTAGCTTATGTCTCCGGAAGTATCTTGTACTTGCTGGCTCTTGTATTTCATATTCTTGAATCCTATCAATGAAATTATATTGACAAAAAAGAAAAATTTTAGAAGCTTTGACTTTTTTTTTCTCACAGCCAAAATATTTCTTTAATTCAATTTTTTGGCATATAGAAAGCATTTTTTTTCTAAAAACATAATTTTTAACTTTCCAAAGTTTTAAATTTTACAACCAAAATACTACAAAAATAAAATCTACAACTACAACTAATAAACCTACAATCATAGATCTACAACAAAAAATGTAAAGCTATAGCTGGTACCAGCATTGCGATCATATACTCATATAGGGAAAAATATTTATCGTTTCATTTTACCACATCTTGTCGTGTTTTTGCTGGCAACATTTTCTATTTTATTTTAGTTAACTATATATATATATATATATATTAAATTAATGGTTGGCAAATAAATATTCAAATTAATAAATAAAAATATTGTTTTATTTATAATTAAGTTTTTCAATGATATATAGAAATTCTTAGTACCAATTGAGTTCAATTGAAAAAGTCCACCATAAAGACTACAAAAAAAAAAGGTCCCAGAGAACCCACATATTTGATAAACCAAATTGAACCACGCAAGCAAAACATAATTCGATGGATGTGAAAACTGTCAAATCTGTTAAAATTAAGGACCGATTATTCACGAGGAACTATGATGTGACGGGATGTTAAATCTGTCGATCATATTTAAATTCCCATAACAGTTAGTACACATGCCAACAAAACAAATTAAATCTGTCGATCATATTTAAATTTCCGTAATGGTTAACACACATGCCAACAAAACAAATAAAGGGGCCGTTTACTATTCTCACAATCTCCACACACGTACATGTTACACGTGTGGACGTATATGAACACATTCCAAATGTAAGCGCATTCATAAGGTCAGTGACCTATTATATGATCTTCATATTTTTAGGTGTACACGTGACCTAATATTGGCGCAGCCATACCAAAAATTCGGAAAAACAAGTTGGTGAAAGTTAAGCCATCAAATTGTTTCGATTCGTTGATTGTAAATCTTACGTGTATAGCATGTCAATAAAAAAAGGAAACAGAAAACACGTAGTACGTGAATTATCAGTATCTTATCTTATGTGTTCATACATTGACCTAAACTAATTATTAAACTGACCTACAAATTAATGCGTTCATATACAAAACAAATAAAAGTAGTTGCGAAACTGATAAACTGCCATGTTATTGCATTAGAGACAAATCACTCCAGCCAACCTTATAAATACGAAATTTATAATGCACTAATTTTCATATTCAAACAAATCAAAAACTCAAGAAACGTCCACACCCCAAAAAAAAAAAAGAAACAAATTAAGTTGTGATGGAGTCATCGACTACATCGTATTCAGTTGTGTCGGAGCTAGAAGGAACACTACTGAAAAACCCAAAACCCTTCGCTTACTTCATGCTCGTAGCTTTCGAGGCTTCAGGACTAATCCGTTTTGCGACCTTGCTGTTTCTCTGGCCTATCATAGCACTCCTTGACGTTTTGGGCTACAGAAACGGTAGCCTTAAGTTAATGATCTTCGTCGCAACGGCCGGTTTGCACGAATCAGAGATTGAATCAGTGGCTCGAGCCGTTCTTCCCAAATTCTACATGGACGATGTCAGCATGGACGCTTGGAAAGCGTTTGGTTCCTGCGATAAGAGAGTCGTTCTGACAAGAATGCCACGAGTTATGGTTGAGAGATTCGCCAAGGACCATCTTAGAGCCGATGAGGTCATCGGTACGGAGATTGTCGTAAACCGTTTTGGTTATGCTACTGGTTTAATTCAAGAAACCAATGTGGACCAATCTGTTTTCAACAGTGTGGCTAACTTGTTTGTTGATCGAAGACCTCAACTAGGTCTAGGACGACAGATTACCTCGGATTCTCCAACCTTCCTATCGTTATGTGAGGTGAGTACTAAAACAAGAAAAAGTAGGAATATTTTTAGGTTGTTTTACAATTTAGGAAAACGTTACTATATTATTCTTCTAATTTGAATGATTGCATATGTTATGTCTATGTAGGAACAAGTTCATGCACCGGTTCCATCAAACTACAACGGTCATATCCAGCGGCTACATGTGCAGCCGTTACCGGTTATTTTCCACGATGGACGACTTGTGAAGCTGCCGACACCAGCCACCGCACTTCTCATCCTTCTTTGGATCCCCTTCGGTATAATCCTGGCCGTGATTCGGATCTTCGTTGGGTTCTTGCTCCCATTATGGGCCATACCTTACGTCTCACGGATATTCAACACTCGATTCACCGTAAAAGGAAAGCCTCCGGCACCAGCAACCCCCGGAAAACCAGGCGTACTATTCGTATGCACTCATAGAACCCTAATGGATCCGGTCGTATTATCCTATGTACTCGGACGTAGCATCCCAGCCGTTACCTACTCCATTTCTCGATTATCCGAGATTCTATCTCCGATTCCAACCTTCAGGTTAACTAGAATTCGAGATGTTGACGCCGAGATGATCAAGAAAGAACTGTCTAATGGGGACTTAGTGGTATATCCGGAGGGAACCACTTGTCGCGAGCCATTTTTGCTGAGATTTAGTGCTCTTTTCGCAGAATTAACGGACAATATTGTGCCAGTGGCAATGAACTATAGAGTAGGATTCTTTCATGCGACTACTGCTAGAGGCTGGAAAGGTTTAGACCCCATCTTCTTTTTCATGAACCCGAGACCGGTTTATGAGGTGACGTTCTTGAACCAGCTCGAAGTGGAGGCTACGTGTTCGTCAGGGAAGAGCCCTTATGACGTGGCCAACTATGTACAGAGAATCTTGGCCGCTACGTTAGGCTTTGAGTGTACTAACTTCACGAGGAAGGATAAGTACAGAGTTCTCGCAGGAAACGACGGAACCGTGTCGTACTTGTCATTTCTCGACCAAGTCAAGAAGGTCATCACCACATTCAAGCCTTTCTTCCATTAATTTTCAGGTTTTTAATTAAGTACTTTCGAAATTCTGTGATGACGACTGATTACAAACATGTTTTTGAGTTTTCATTTTTATTTATTTATTTTGTTGCAAGCAGATGACTACGGGTAACTTAACGGGTTTGTGTATTTTCTAGAGTTTTATCTATTGTGGAATGCAATCGCAAGTTCACAACTATATAACATTTTCATTAAAATTTAAGATTAAATAAATGACAGCTAGCGTCTTTGCATGTCGTCCAAGAGAGAGCTTAATCAAATAAATAATTGAACCATTAACACCAAATATTCGGAAGACAGAACCCTTGACCAATGTGGATTTGGACAATATATAATCAACTTTATGTATATAAATGGTAAATGCTACCGACCATGCATACACGTCTAGCTTTTAGGTTGTCAATGTGGATTTTATTATTATTAGGCATTGTTACTAAAAACACTCTAAACAATGACAATACGGATAAATACAACTTTAATACATAGTTTTACATATATTCACTCCAATATAATTATCCTACAAAATAAAATATTTCCTTGTAACATGTTTGTGTAATGAAAAGATACGTTGAAGAAATATAGTTATCTAACAACTTGTAATTTAATTTGGTTGTGTAGATATCATATCACACCTTAAAATTCCGATCTATAGATTCGTTTTTAATCATATATAAGGTGAGAAGATATATGGTTGACATTGCGCAGACGATTTGTAGTTTGGTGGGGGTAGATTAGAAATTGATTAAGGAAACTTAAGCTGCTGATATGATCTTATAACTTTTTGAATCAAATACTTATAATTAATTGCTTATTTGGTTGGGATGATGACAATCTCTTCTTTGACCGCCAGATTTTTAGCTGCCGCCTTCCAGTTAGAGTTGGCCAACTTTTAGATTTGCCACAACATCAACAAAATAGTTAATAGTATAGGCTTCAGAGACCAATTAAAATTAGAAAAATATCTAGATTAATTAGGTGGATATTAATTAAAGAAAAATGTTTTTTTTTTTCTAATCTTAAGATGTGAAGAAACGGAAAATGGGCTTTTCATTAGTATCTCTAACTTGGTTCATAATATGAATTATGTTGTGGGCTTTTCATTAGGATCATAAGTAGCTTTCGTAAGCCTAGTGTTGTCCTTATACGGGGAATAACATACGTATAAACATACGACATAACATGAAATGAGATAAAGAGAGTGACCAAAAAAGCCTGCAAAAAGGTGACCAATTCAACTCTATTTCTTTCTTACAAGTTACAACTCTTTCAAATCAATTATTCAATCTCACTCTTTTACTATTTGAATGTATTTCAGTTTATAAACCAAAAAGATTGTCTTTCTAGGCTGGTTTTGTTTTGTTAAGTTTTGATTTAGTAAAAACTCTGATTAATTTTTAGTAACATAATTACAAATTTACAATGCTAATAAGTAATAACAAAAGAGGGTTAATTTTCACATATATAATTTTATCGTATCATATAAAAAAAAACGTTTTAAGAAAAGTAAAATAAAAAAGTAGAAAAGAGTAAAATGAAGAGAAAGAGGTTTGCTTCTTCTTCCTTCCATTTCCACTCGATGTTCAGCTGCCCAAGCTAAGCTCGGATCTCAATCCAGCTTCGGTATTTTCCTTCTTTCTCTCTTCTTCTTTGTTACACACAGATTCCATGAAAGAATCATCGGCTTGAGCTTTTCTCAGCGTAATCTAATTTTTGCGTCTAGATTATCTTTCCGTTTCTATCTCGAATTGCTTTTCATGGATCTGTGATTAGTCTTTATGATCTTTGAAAAACTGAAATTTCAGCTAATATTTCAAATCAGGTTTTGTGTTTTTCAAATCCGTAATCGGATGATCTCTTTCAGCTGATTGTTAGCTGCGATTTCGATTGATTTTTGATGTTGATCTTCTTTGTGATAGACTACCAATCTTTCTCAATCTAATTATTATTCTCTGTTTGTTTTTCAGGTATCCCAGCAGCTTCAGCGTCTGACAGTTTTTGGATTTGTTTTTTCTTTCCTTATTTAGGGTTTGTTTTCCTTTTTCGTCTCTTTTTATTTCTTTATGATTATGAATTTTTCGATTTCAAGTTGTAATTCTTGGTTTTAGGTAGTGGGAGCTTGATGTCTAAATTGTTGCTCAAGTACTGCTTTAATTAGAAAGGAGATGAGTTACACGAGCACTGACAGTGACCATAATGAGTCACCAGTTGCTGATGATAATGGAAGTGACTGCAGAAGTAGATGGGAAGGTCATGCTCTGAAGAAAGGGCCATGGAGTTCTGCTGAAGATGATATTCTTATTGACTATGTGAATAAGCATGGTGAAGGTAACTGGAATGCTGTGCAGAGACATACGGGCTTGTTTCGTTGTGGTAAAAGCTGTCGTCTAAGGTGGGCTAATCATCTGAGGCCAAATTTGAAGAAAGGAGCGTTTAGTCAAGAAGAAGAACAGCTTATTCTTGAATTGCATGCCAAGATGGGTAATAGATGGGCGCGTATGGCTGCGCATGTGAGTTCCTTTTTTAAGTTGTTTCGATCTTTTTAGTGTGTGCCCGGAGACTAATTTCATAGGAGTTTTTGTTTGCTCCAGTTGCCTGGCCGAACGGATAACGAGATAAAGAATTATTGGAACACTCGTATCAAGAGGCGACAACGAGCTGGTTTACCACTTTATCCTCCTGAAATGCATGTTGAAGCACTAGATTGGAGTCAAGAGTATGCCAAGAGTAGAGTTATGGGAGAAGATGGAAGACATCAAGATTTCTTGCAGCTGGGGAGTTGTGAATCTAATTTCTTCTTTGATAGTCTTAACTTTACAGACATGGTACCTGGTGCTTTTGACCTAGCAGATATGACTGCCTACAAAAATCTGGGTAATGGTGCAAGTTCTCCTCGATATGAAAACTTCATGACACCAATAATGCCCTCCTCGAAGCGACTTTGGGAATCTGAATTGTTGTATCCTGGGTGTAGCAGTACCGTAAAGCAAGAATTCTTGTCGCCTGAACAATTCCAGAACACATCTCCACAAAAGATTTCCAAAACTTGCAGTTTCTCAGTTCCTTGTGATGTTGAGCATCCTCTCTATGGAAACCGACATTCACCTATTATGATTTCAGATAGCCATACCCCTACGGATGGCATTGTTCCTTCTTCTAAGCCCTCATATGGGGCAGTGAAGCTGGAGCTCCCTTCATTCCAATATTCAGAAACAACATTTGACCAGTGGAAGAAATCGTCATCTCCTCCACACTCTCATCTTCTTGATCCCTTTGATACTTACATTCAGTCTCCACCACCACCTACGGGGAGAGAAGAGTCAGATTTATATTCAAGTTTTGATACTGGTCTGCTCGATATGTTGCTTCTGGAGGCCAAGATCAGAAATAATACTACAAAGAACAATTTGTACAAGAGCTGCGCTTCAACTATTCCATCAGCTGATCTTGGCAAGGTTACTGTGTCCCAAACTAAATCCGAGGATTTTGACAATTCCCTTAAGAGTTTGGTCCATTCCGACATGTCCACACAAAATGCAGATGGAATTCCACCAAGTGAGTTACTATTCACCTTACCAGTTTCTACATCACTTGAAATAGTTTATTGATTAGATTTCATCTTCTTCCCTAGAATTCTATTTGGGATCCTGACTTTACATTAAAGAGAAATCATCCCTTGCATCAATTGGTTTCTTATAGCCGATGTTTTGAGCCTGATCAAGAACTCACCTAAACTTATAAAATTATGCAGGGCAGAGAGAAAAAAAGCGGAAACCTCTCTTGGATATAACACGACCTGACGTTTTGCTTGCATCGAGCTGGCTCGACCATGGTTTAGGGATTGTGAAAGAGACAGGTAGCATGAGCGACGCACTCACGGTTCTCCTCGGCGATGACATAGGAAATGACTATATGAATATGAGTGTTGGGGCATCCTCAGGAGTTGGGTCTTGTTCTTGGAGCAACATGCCTCCTGTCTGTCAAATGACGGAACTACCCTAACGAGCCCGTTAAATGCTCCACTCCATTGGTTGTGGATTGGATTAGAGCCGTTCAAAATCTGTCAATTCTCATGGACTAGCAACTGCCAATGCAAGAACAATATCTTTTTCTTTGAGCCTTTTGTTCACAGCCGATACTTTGTTGGCTTCTGTACCAATAACCCATATCACGATTCATCAGGAGGATGAAGTGGTTGATTTTGTAGAACTGGCTTCTTTAAGGACTATGGACTATGGTATACATACAGTTGATTTAATTCAATGTTAAACAGCGAATTGTTTCGTTTAATTTTTTTCTCTTTGGAATAGTTTGATTACGGTTTGCTTTATCAACGACTATGTTCAGCCATTCGTTTGTAGCTAGATAGACAAATGAAAACAAGATTATACCAGACGATCACAAAATTAGATCAAGACACAGAGGATAAATAAAATTAGAACAAAATAAAATTAAGAATAGATTCGGTTGTCAAAAACTCTATGTAGAATAGTAGTAGCATGATGATGTATACGAAACATGAATTGTAGCAAAAATTGAGTCCACGCTCTTCTCTGTCAAAACAAAATCTCAGAGCGTGTAGCTCGAGGGCTCCGATAAGTTAGGCTGTGGGTTTCTTGGTTCTGATGATGTCCTTAAGCTCAGCAAACTTCTTCTTGCATTGGTTCATCGTTTTCCCTGGAACAGCTGTTGCTACTCTCTCCCATCTTTGGTTTGTCTCCTTTGGGAAAGTCTTCAAAGCCTGTACCAGAGCTCTTTCTTGCACAGCAGACCAACCGTCTGGGTCTGAACCAGCACCAGTATCTGGTTCAGAGATGCCATTGCTGTTGTTGTTCTCTTCGCTCTTACCGTTGCTGTTGTTGTTCTCTTCGCTCTTACCGTTCTGTTCTGCGGTCTCTGTTTTGGCTGAGTTGTTTTCTTCATGAGGTTTGATCGGTATAATTGGTTCTCCGAGTTCCTCTCGTGTAGAGAGAGGAGAGGCGATTGAAGCAGCAGGTTTCCTCTTCTCCAGAAAAGAATCAAATGCTTTAGCTGAGTCAGGTTTCTGGAGAAGTATTGTTTTGGTAGCCTTGAGAATTTCCTCCACAGATCTTCCTGTACCAATGTACTCTGATATGACTTCCCATCTTTGAGATGTTCCTTTTGGGAACTTAGTTGTTCCTTTTCTCAGCATGTCAATCTCTTCCTTGCTCCAAGGTTTCTCTTTCTTCTGATGAGTAGCAGTATTTACTTTGGCTTCTACATGACCATTGGCTTCTATATGACCATTCTGCTTAACAGCTACTTGAACTTCTTCTTCTTCTTTCTCTTCTTTAACCTCTATTTCATCATCATCATCAATGCTGTTCCCATTCTTGATCACCTTTGCCAAAGCCAGTCCTTCCTTGTTTTCCATCTTGTCACACAGTTTCCGCAACTGCTCGGTGTTAAGTGACATACATAGATCTTCCACATGTTCATCAGAGATGCTAAGCAGACGCTGGGACAGAACAGGTGCGGAGAGAATTCTGAGCCTACTTCGTTCTTTGCGCAGAAGCTTCTTCTCTTTTTCCTTGGCTCTCTTGTGCAGCAGAGCAGCCTCTGCCGCACGTTTTGCTTCTTCTTCTTTTCGCCTTTTCTCTTCTTCAATAGCTGCTGCAGCAGCTC